AGTGGGAGGCAGCCTGGAATGTGCTGGGGGCTGGGAGGAGAAGGAAGTTGGCGTGTGAATGAGCACATAAAGGAGTCTCGTCTCAGGACTCTGGGTTTGTTTAGGAAGGGATTTGGCTTGGCATCTCTGGATTCACGACTGCTTCGAGCACAAAGGCTGGGCCCAAATGCAGGGGTGGCTTACCTCATGAACTGGTAATTGTGGTGTAAAGACAATGCATTCCTACCCATCATTCTTGCACAGTTTTTATTTGGTAAACAAGTTTATCAAATACAGTAATCCAAACCTTTGGGATTTTCAAAGGAAAAGTTGGGAGTTCCTCTGGAATCATAGAAGGCCAGGAGAGATAGTGGAAATGGAGCAATCTTGCAGAAATGTTAGGACTAAATTTCCCATAGAGTACTTGAATAACTTGGTTGGTATAGTCACAGCTGTCCCTCCTTTTTTTCTCCATAACCACAACCCTGTGAGGTGGTTTTGGCTGAGAGATAGGGTCCTGCCCAAAACTACTCAGTTCAGCCCCTAAGTCCCTAGTATCCAACATTCACAAGGCACCAACCTGAGGAAAGCTGATATTAAAATAAAGTTTATAGTCTAAGGGGGAAAGGGTTATAAAAAGAAGATCTAAAAGATGTAGGAACTGGGCCATGACACAATGTCAGGTGTGGGTCAGAATTCTAGTAGGTTTAGAAAGCAAATGACCACCGATATTTGACAATGGAGATTCTCAGTCATCCAGGTCATGGTTGTCCAAAAGATGCCTTTTCAAGAGGCACCTGACTTTCTTGTTATCCTTTGAAGACATTTTACTTCTTAATCTAAGAAGCTTCTTCAGCTCTGACTGAAGAATTTAGCCCCACTATCCAGTCAGAGCTGAAGAAGCTTCTTGGATGAGAAGCGAAACGTCTTCAAAGGATAACAAGAAATTACCTCTTGAAAAAGCACCTTTTGGGCACCAGTGTTTGACTTTTTGGTAAGCATTTGGGAACATGAAAAACAATAAATCCCAGGTAAATGCAAGCGATCCGTTCTGTGGAGTAGAAGATATACTGGTTGGGGAGTAAGTAACAGTGATTTCAGAGCTTCCTGGCAGAGCTGTGGGAGGCCGTTTGTGGGTAATAGAGAATTAACCGCTGTGTAAAATGGCAGGTATGGTTTCTTAAGAGCCCAGTGTTAACCAGAAAGCAGGTAGCAGTTACTGGGTTCTGGGTAGGGGTGTGGCAGCCTCAGCAGGTGGTTGCCTGGTGCAGGAACATTCAACGTTGCACCTGTCTTGGTTGGAAGCCAAAGGGTGTCAATTACCGCCCGTTGGTCTTCTGGGAATAACTGGAGCCATTTTCCATAACTCTAGCTTGTTTAGCTGTTTGCCGATTCTCTTCCTCCCTTTTTTATCCTGGGACTGTTTGATTTGTTCTGTCCACTTGTGCACACCCACCTTTCCTGTTACTTGAAGCCTTTTCCGTAAAAACAAAGTATTGGGAGATCAGAAGGGAGGCAGATCAAAGAGAATCTGTAAATTCTTTTTTGTTTTTTTTGAAGTCCATGTTGTCTTCTGGTCTGGAATTCAAAGGATGGGCCACATTTCAGGAGGAGGTAGTGATGTGTTGTCTGAAGACTTTCCTCTTATATCACAACCTCCTCCTGCCAAGATCCTCCTGAAATGACTCGCAATTGGGAACGACAGCTTTAATTTACTGTAATATAATGTTCGGGCATTTGGGGAGATACAGGTAGTCCTCAACTTACAACAGTTTGTTTAGTGACCAAAGTCACAACAGCACTGAAAAGTGTGACTTATAACAATTTGTCACACTTACAACCATTGCAGCTTCCCCATGGTCACGTGATCACAATCCAGCCGCTTGGCAACTGACTCGTATTTATGACCGTTGCAGTGTCCTGGGGTCATGTGCTCGCCTTTTGCAGACTTCTGATCACCAAAGCCAATAGGGAAGCCGGATTCACTTAATAACTGTGGCAAGAAAGGTCATAAAACGGGACAAAATGCGCTTAACAACTGTTTCACTTAGCAACAGAAATTCTTAAAAACTCTAGCAAAAAAGGGTTGTAAAATGAAACGCAACTCATTTAACAACGGCCTTGCTCAGCAAGGGAAATTTGGGTCTCAATTGTGGTCATAAGTCGAGGACTATCTATAGAGATGGTAGCTGTGGCTCAAGGATGCTGTGCACCGAAGCCTTCTCAAGGGTATAATAGGTATCTCCTGTTAAGACACTGAGCAAACTCTAGCCTAGGAAATAATTTCTTTAATTTCTTCTGAAGTTTTTTAGGACGGACTCCTGGAGGTTTTGTTCCTGTATCCTTCGTGTTTAGATTTGCTACGGAGCAGAAAAATTAGGCAAGTTTGGTAGCACTTTTTCTGACAAATTAATTTTATTTAAAAGGCATGTGAGTTACAGCTTAATGCTTTTTAGTCGCTTTTTAATTAGCCCCGGTAATTATCTCTGCAGCATAAGGGAAGGCATTAAGGAGCTGGGTGGCTTGGAGCCTACACAGAGTGCTATTCCATTCCTGCGGAGTAACTAATATGAGCTCCCAAACATCTGATGTTTATGCTCCAGGTGCCTTTTCTGAGTCTCAACACGCCCGCTTTGGACTCTGGGCAGACAGACAATCAGCAGATTTAAGAGCGCGGCAATAGGTGTTGAAGGTGTTGAGTTGTAAGCTTGCTTTGCTTGAGCAGAGACAATCAAAGAAACCTTCTCACTCTTCTGCTTCTCCAAGTAAAAAAACAAAACAAAAAACAAGGCTCTGGTCATAGAAAGACCAAGCACCCTCGGGTTCTGCCAAACAAGCCTGTCTGGCTTTAGCGATATAAGGCAGGCAAGTTTGCTGCTTAGCCGTAAAGCCCAGCAGGGGTCTGGAAAGGGTGGGGGTTGGTGGGAGAGCGCTGGAAAACCTCGCTCATCAACCAAAGTCTGGACTGAGATTGGTTCCCAGGCCGGAGGGGAGAACAATGTGGGTTTTTAGGAAGGAGAAAGTAGACTCGTAGGTACTCAGAAAGGCAGCATTGGGTCTCTTCTTGTGTCCCTGGCCAAGTTAAATTCTTCAGCTGCATTTGGAGCCTGCATTTTTCTGGTGTTGCTTAACTCTATTTCCATTTTCCTGGTTAAATCTCCTGAGAGGAATTTGGCTAATTGTGGCTAGAACACGGAGCTGGAAAAAGACTGAGCTTCTTCCACTGGCAGGAACAAAAAAAGTTAGAGGGGTCTGGGAGAAAAGAGAAAGACTTGTCCGAACCTTTGGAACATTCTTAACTATTGGTGGGTTTGAATGCACACGGAGAATGGATTTTGCATATTCTGTGTACATAACTAAATGGTTAGGATGGTGCTTATCATCATCTAGAATTCTTCCAATTTTCACAAATTTTGCCCTAGCCTAGAACGGCCTACAAAATTAGGATCTTGTCTTCCAAAATATGTAAATTTTATTTTGCACAGTTTTTCCTTGTATTTCATGGGAAAGGAAGGACAAGTGACACTGAAAAGGGACTACAATTAGTCCTCAACTTACAGCAGTTCCTTTATTGACTGTCCAAAGTTACAATGGAACTAAAAAGAGTGACTTGTGACTGTATTTCATACTTACGACCATTGTAACATCCCCTCTGAGAAGCAAAATCAATGGGGAAACAAGAGTCACTTAACAACGGGGTTACTTATTTAATAACTGCAGTGATCCACTTAACAACTGTGGCAAGAAAGGTCATAAAATGGGGCAAAATTCACTTAACAAATGTCTCACTTAATTAAATTTTGGGCTCAATTGTGGTCGTAAGTCCAGAATGACCTATTCAGGAAAATCTGTTATGGGTAGTCCTTGACTTACAACCACAGTTGAGCCCAAAATCTCCCTTGCTGAGCAAGGCCATTGTTAAGTGAGTAGCGCTCCATTTTACAACCTTTTATTGCTTCTATTGTTAAGTAAATCATTGCAACTGTTAAGTGAATCATTAAGGGAAGTTAGTTCCCCCATTGAGTTTGCTTGTTGGAAACCAGTTGAGAAGATTACCAATGCGGATCACATGACCCCAGGATACTGCAATTGTCATAAATACATGCTAAGTGCCCGAATTTTGATCATGTGACCATGAGGATGCTGCAATGATCATGAGTGTGAAAAATAGTCATGAGTCCCTTTTTCCATTGTAACTTGGAGCAGTCATTAAATGAACTACCTGTACTTAGGATTGTGTCCCAGCCAGGGCAGGTAGTGGAAGAAGAAATAGAAGATAATCTGTTCTTTACAGCTGGATTTAGAATACACTGACTGGAACTAGAGAGCTCTTGACTCCATACACCTTTTATTGCAAGGGGAGCATGTATGGTGACTTTAAGACTTGTGGACTTCAACTCCCAGAATTCCAGAGCCAACTAGCTCAGGAATTCTGGGAGTTGAAGTCTGTGGGTTATAAAGTCGCCATATTTGGCCAGCCCTGTTTCACTGCCTTTGTCTCCACCTCCTCTCCACCCCTTTTCTAGTCATTATTTTGTAAATACATTCTGTTGGCATGAAAATGTTTATACAAGAAGTCTGAAGATTTGGGACAGGTTTACATTCTGAAGTAAGTAAAACTAACAAATATTCCACTTCCATCTCAAGAGGACGAGGAGGAATTTCATACTGCTTTTCTCTTGTACCAATCCGATTTTTCTGTCCATTGCATTCCCGAGTTTGGGGAAAGCAACAGAAAATATAAAAATTGCTGAAGCCATTACAAAAAGGTTATAGCATAGAGGGTTGTTTTCTGGGGATATTCTGTTACAGTGAGGTTAAAATAAAAGGTACACTGTCCAGAGTGCCTCTGTGAGAGAGATGGGCAGTTTTAACATGTGATAAATTGATAAGTAAGAGGTAGGGAATACTCTGTAGAGAGCTGTCAGATTTAAGGGACATGAAGAATTTAGCATTATGTACTAGAAGTGAGTCTCCGTCCATGTCTAACTTTTCCTGGACTTTCCCCCTCTCTTTTTCAGCCATGGCTGTTCGGACCCCTGTACAACGGGGCGACGCCACCGCTGAGAGATACCTGTTTGTGGACCGGAACCATGTGGGCAATCCAGCCTCACAAGCTGATTGGACGGCCAAACGCCTGGTGTGGGTCCCGTCCGAACGTCATGGCTTTGAGGCGGCTGGGCTGCGCGAAGAACGGGGAGATGAGATGTTGGTGGAACTTACCGAGAATGGGCGTCAGATGCTGGTGGCCAAAGACGACATTCAGAAGATGAACCCACCCAAATTTACCAAGGTGGAAGACATGGCAGAGCTGACCTGCCTCAATGAAGCCTCGGTGTTGCATAATCTGAAGGACCGCTACTACTCGGGTCTTATCTATGTGAGTTGGCTTATGGGGTCGCCACTGGTTTGGTTCCATTCCCCATCTCCCTCTCTTCCTCCCTCCCTCTCCCTCCCTCCCTCCCTCTCTCTCCCTCTCCCTCTCACTCTCTTCCTGTCTCTCACATTTTTTTAACCATTTGCATCTTCCTCATGAGATAAACTTAGGGATCTGTAGTACTTCTAAGAGCTACTTAATACAATTCTTGCCCCTGTTTAATTCCAAATGTAATCCAGAAATTCCGGTTTGCAGCAGCCGTGTGTGTGTGTCTCTCTCTCTCTCAGCTCAGAAATACACTGGCCAATATTCCAGATGGTTTGGACTTCAGCAATCAGCCAGCATGACCAGTTGCAAGTCATGATGGGAATTATGTGGTCCAAACCTTTTGATATCCATCAGGACATCTTAAGAAGAAAACTTCCAGATTTTAAACAGTGACGTTCTGGACTGTTTCCCCTGCTTGAGTGGAATGCAGCCTTGGTTAGATGCCAAGCTATTCCTTCTGAGCAGACGTCAGGGCTGGAAAAGAAGAGCTGATTTGGGACAGAAAGTTGGTTCCCCCCCCCCCCCCCAGCTTATGAAGTATCTCTGTGTTTCTGCGCAACAATGCTCGAAAAGGGCGAGGCTGGACCTACTTTACCTCATCACGCAGAGCTGATTTCAAAGGGAAGGAGCAGGGGACACGTATTTCTCTTGTCCTGCTGGTTTCCCTGGCACCCAAGTGGGCACAAAAGGCTACCCCGGGAAGGCATTGGGCCAAAGCATTCCCTCCACGGTACGTCATCTCTGACTCGCAGTGCCCGTCCTCTACACACACACACACACACACACACACACACACACACACACACACCCCGCTGCCTCTGATGATCTCCACCCTGTAGCTGGGTATCGGGGTGGGGAACGGACTAGACCTGTTCAGCCAGAACAGTAGTCGTCAGGGTGTGAAATGAATTCTCCCAAGGGCGCCGCCATCCACCGCACGGCAACAACACACCACTTCTTAGAAGAAGGAAGCTGCACTCTTGCCTTCTCCTAACCGGCAGCCTTCATCTGTGTGATTCAGCCCCATGGAACCCATCTTCAAGATAAAAAGGAAACAATCTTCTTCTGTTTTAAAAAAAAACAGCAACTGAAAAGGGGATTCTTCAGCCTTCCCAGACAGTTCCTTTAATAACAGTGTCGGTGTTTTTCTTGTAAATCGGCTTCTCCCTGCCCTGGTGTCACTCCATCCAGCCAGTTGTTTTTTACAGTTTGGTCTCCAGTCCTGCCCTTTCCCAGGTATTCCAGCCTGTAGCAAAAAAAGGCATTTTTAGCGTCACCCTCAGCAATCTTTCCCCTACTTTCTGAGCTCCTGATGCAATTCAGTTCCTAAGATCCTCGGGCAAGGTGGTTAAGAGAATAATGGGAGGTTACATTCCAATGCACCTGAAAACACTCTAGGTTAGGGAAGGTCATTTCTGCATGTTTCCCTTATTGTCAGCCAAGGTCGATGGCATCCGGTGACTGAGGTCAAGTGGTCAAAATTCATCTGTTGGCATGGATCTGTCGGCTAGAAACCTGTTTGGAAAATAGGCAGGCTAGCAGTAGTATGCCAAAAGCAAAACTGCACGCTTGGATTCAAGTTAGGGAAACCCAGAGGCATTGGTGCATGGAAGCTTGTAGAAATCAGCTTTTATTAGCCGGTTGAGTAATGCCTCTTGATCTTTTTTTATGCCTCCTGTAACCCCCTCATTCCTTAATTTCCAATGTTGGTTTTCCACTGCCCCGAACTAGGAAATTTTAGGAAAACCATAATATAGCTTTAGGTACATTCATTATTTGTAAAAAATAATAAAGGTGGGATACAAATAAAAAATGTTGCTTATGTCTGTGGAGATTCTCAGCCATCCATGTCATGGTTGCCCCAAAGGTGCCTTTTTCAAGAGGTAACTGGACTTTCTGGTTTTTCTTTGAAGACGTTTCACTTCTCATCCAAGAAGCTTCTTTAGCTTTAGATCAGATTATAGATTAACAGAGTTGGAAGGGACCTTGTAGGTCATCTAGTCCAACCCCCTGCCCAAGCAGGAGACCCTACACCATTTTTGACAAATGGCAGTCCAATCTCTTCTTGAAAGTCTCAAGTCATGTTTGGAGGATCTTCAGGGCTGCCACAGCTACGCTGGCTGGAGCTGTGGGAACAAAAATGGGGAATAGAGATAGCTGGGGACTTGTAGCCAAACTAAAATTCTTTCTCCTGGGAACTACGGACATTCTCACCAGGTGTTGGGGAGGTGTTGGCTGAAACCAACTGGGGTTGGGACCAGATTGGGCCATGTGATGAACATGTGGACTGGTGGAAAGAACTTTGATCTTTAATTTGGATGCGGAAAACCGCGGGACCTTCAGAGTCGGTTTTTCACCAGATGTGCCAATATGACATCCCTAATAAATCTGCACTTTGAGGAATACCTAGGAATACCTCAGAGGTTTGATTGCGTTGGGTCTGTTACTTGGAACCCTGACACTTTGAATGGCGCGGCTGAATTCTTCAGTCAGAGCTGAAGAAGCTTCTTGGATGAGAAGGAAAACATCTTCAAAGAATAACCAGAAAGGCCAATTGCCTCTTGAAAAGCCACTTTTGGCACAAAAACGATGCTTACAGGATGCAGCAGGATAAGGCTAAAAAGAACAAAGGAAGCCTATATTACGTCCCCTTGAAAAACTTTAATGACAACCCATCCCTCACTCTCCAACAATCATTTTGCAATCTGCCCAGATAACTTTGGCTCCTCTTTGGGCACCGGGAGATGGCATGTACCTTTTCATTTCTGGGATGTTGGCAAACAATTTTCTTATGCCAGCAATTTTTTCAAAGGTAAATACATTCTGAGGTAAATATAAATACATTCTGAGGTAAATATAAATACATTCTGAGGTAAATACCAAGAAGAGGCAAAGGCTTGAAAGGATTCGTTTTTTGTGAGGGGGGTGAATTCTAGACGAGGTGCTACTTTTTTGGCTTCCATCTATTCTTGGGATTGCAAAAGGCTTCCAAGCCAGCACTGTACTTCAGAAAGCAGCCAGGATTGGGAAAGAAAAAAAGAAAGAAAAGGAGTCCCTGCGGATTTTATCCCGCTAGTTGTTGCCGATTGTAGGGAACAGTAATAATTTCTGTTGAGTCAGTGTTGTCCAAACACATTTCCACAATCATATAGCCAGCATGACATTGCGGAGTGCTATTGCCTCCCCACTGAAATGTTATTTATTTATCTATTTGTCCACTCACATTTGCACGCTTTCGAACTGCTAGGCGAACAGGAGTTAAGTGGAGGTCGGTGCTCACTCCATTGCGCGATGCTTGGGTCTCCAACCAGGCCATCTTAATCACTGAGCCATCACTTCTGAACTGCTGAGCCATTGGGCCTTCCCAGGGTTGAGAAAACTGATCAAAAAGTATCCCATTGATTTTTCATTTCAGCAGTAGGAAAAACATCTCAAGGTTGGAACCACTGTTTTTCTCTAAGCAGACATTCCCTTTTCTTGCCTGCAAAATACAAGAAATTGGTCACTAGGCGTTGTTTCTAACAACCGTCTCCTTGTCTGTCTGGGATCGCACATCATGTTAAGCTTTTGTTTGTGAAAAGTTCGAGGGCCTTAATCCACACATAATGCTTAGCTCTAAGCCATGGATTAATAGCCCCAAAAGTCTGGGTTCATGTAAAGATGAACCCAAACAAATGACATGTCTGGCTTAATATTTTGTATGAATTAGGTCATTGTCATGCTGTAGAGTTAAAAATAGCAGGCGGTGAACTTGGCTCCTCTCTCTTTATTTTCTGATATTTTTTTCCCAGGTTTGTCTTGAAGCAGAAAGAAATGTATCTTTTTTGAATACTATTTTTTTTTTTGAAGCAGCAACTTTAGAAGGGAGAGTGTTTTGATGGTAAGCTGTAAGACCCAGGAAGGTGTGTAATTGTGTGTACAAAAAGGAACTGCAGTCACATTGGTGAGGCTGTTCTGATGTGACTTTCTGTCTTCCCTCTCCAAATGGCAGACATACTCAGGGCTCTTCTGTGTGGTCATCAACCCTTACAAGAATTTGCCCATCTACACAGAACAAATTGTGGAGATGTATCGGGGCAAAAAACGTCATGAGATGCCGCCTCACATTTATGCCATCTCCGAGACTGCCTACCGAAGCATGCTGCAAGGTATACACTGGAAGACTCACAAAGGGGTGTGTGTTTGGGGTGGGTGATAAGGGGGGGCTTTGCTACACGTTAAGTGTGGACAAAGTACAGCCCTTGAGGCTCATGGGGCTGGGCCTGATTCCATCGCAACCCTCAAAAGCCTTCTGAGCCACAGTGGCGCAGTGGTCAGAATGCAGTACTGCAGGCTACTTCTGCTGACAATTGGGCAGTTCGAATCCCACCAGGCTGAAGGTTGACTCAGCCTTCCATCCTTCCGAGGTGGGTAAAATGGTGACCCAAAATTGTTGGGGGTGATATGCTGACTCTGTAAACCGCTTAGAAAGGGCTGTAAGGCACTGTGAAGCGGTATATAAGTCTAAGTGCTATTGCTACTGCTATTCTGCAAGCCTCTGCCGAGATGCTTCACTCCAAGTCTTAAAATGTGCTGCGAGTAAAACAGAGAGGAAAAAGAGACTAAGAGAGCGGATTTGAGTGGGTCTGATAAAAGAAAACCTAAATGGCCCTTTCAATTTTTTGTTTCAGGCCCCGACCCCTCTTCATCTTACCTTCTTGCTCTCTAGAAAGTACATCCACTTGATTAAAATTAGATACCCACATGGCTGTGAGAAGTAAAGCGGACGGAAAGGTTTAAACAGTGCCCCATTCCAGACTGAAGCAGAAAGGGGAAGAATGAGTACTTTTAGGGTGTACAGAGTGGATAGAGTGGGCAGATGGCTAGAGATAGGGAGCTGATGAAGTCTAGCCTTTTGCAGCTGGGGGATGTGTGTTTCTGATGCCCCCTTGTGGAGGGAAATGGTCTTCAGGAAATGGGAACAAACATTTCTGATCTGATTCTCTTCTCTTTCTGGCCCCCAGATCGAGAGGATCAGTCGATCTTATGCACGTGAGTATTGCTTGCAGCGGGGAGGGGCTGTAGAAGGAGATGCTCAGAGGAGAGAGAGAGAGTGAAAATCGTTCTGTATGGGTGTTACCAGAGGCTCTAAAAACTTGGTAGCCCAAAGCGCTAGCCTTTCGTTGCATTTCATGCAATTGTACTTAGAAGAGAAGCAGTCGGTTGTTTTAGTCCCGTAAGAAATATTGTACAAAAGCTGGTTTAATCTCAAAAAAGTCATTGCCAAATGCCAGCTTTATTCCTGTTCCCTTCAGACTGGAAATAAGTGATTTGTCCTGTCCCCGCCGCCCCAAGTAACCTGCTACGGAAGCTGTGAAGTTGATCTGATTAAAAATGAGTCAATAATTAAACAAAAATCATGCGTAGCTGCCTTCTACTTTCAGCAACTTAGTGCCCTCCAAATGTGATGGGATTAAAATTCTCTGATTACATAATTAGAAAAGGCTGCTTAGAATGCCAAAATCCCTTCTCACGTTTTACTCAGCAGTCTTTATAAACAAACCTTTAAGAGGGATGGCAAATCTTTAAAATTGCTTTTTATTCCATCTGCTCCGATGGAAAAAGATTTTTTTTTTTCTTACCCTTCTCGAAGTTAGAGAAGTTGAACAACTTTGCCTAGACCCTAGGCAAAGATCAAGACTATCCAAATTCTATCCTAGATACCCTAGATCAAGACTATCCAAATTCTATATCCAACCGCTTTTCACACCAGTTTCCATGAGAGTTTTTAGCATTATTACTGTTAATATTTCTCCTAGTGCGTTTAGGACCATGATGGAATTGGAGCCAGGTACCTTCTGGTTCCCATCCATACTTTTTGATAGGATGCTGCTGATGGGACAGGGTCAGAAAGCAAAACTTCAGAATTCAGAAAGTAAAATACTGAACTCTTTGTGGAAACCACAGTTCTAAGCTCAGCCCTGGGAAGGAGACCTGTGATTGGGATCCATTTGTTTTCTCATCTGATGTCTGTTCTCTGCAGAGGTGAGTCAGGTGCTGGCAAAACGGAGAACACGAAGAAAGTGATCCAGTACTTAGCACATGTGGCTTCATCTCATAAAGCCCGGAAGGACCATAATGTGCCGGTGAGTGTGGGACCACATCCAGTTTCAGTCACAGCAGCAGTCGCCTGCTCTCCCTTGTGGTGCCAACCCAGAAAGGGCATGGCAGACGGGTAGGACCCCTTTGCCAGCTCTGGTTTTGCATTCCTGAAGCGGAGCCAATGAGCTCCCCCATCTGATGCCTAGGATGTAACCCAGCATCTAATTTGAACCGGGGCCAGTCTGGAAGCTCTTCCAAATACCAGCGGATGGCCCTGGCATGTGTGAAAAGGTTGATCCCCTGAAGAGCCTTTCAAAAGCATGCAAAAGTGCTTTCTTCTGTTCACTCAACACACCCTCAGTCTGCCCGTATGGAATTTGGCTACCAAGCCTGTGGCACCCACCCAGGCAGGATTGAGAGCCAGTGTTGGGTTTGAATTAATGTCGTCATGTCCTTCGTACAAGGAAACGAGTCCTTGCTTGGCCTTTTCACATCGTACCTTTCAATCAATAGGTCAGCCATTTGTTCTATTTTTCTTCAGCTGTATAGTTTTGGGCCCTTTTGGTTGCTTCCTCTCAATCTTAAGAGTTCAACTGCAGGGGCCTAGCAGATCTCCTAGTGATCTTCTCTTGAATATTCTTGCATCTTGTGGACACAACCCTAGAGGAAGAACTTAGGTAAAGGTTCCCCTCGCACATACATGCTAGTCATTTCCGTCTCTAGGGGGCGGTGCTCATTCCTGTTACAAAGCTGAAGAGCCAGTGCTGTCCGAAGACGTCTCTGTGGTCATATGGCTGGCATGACTAAACATCGAAGGCACATGGAACCTTCCCACCAAAGGGGTCCCTATTTTTCTACTTGCATTTTACATGCTTTCGAACTGCTTGGTTGGCAGAAGCTGGGACAAGTAACGGGAGTTCACTCTGTTATGTGTGATGGCAAATCTATGGCACACGCGCCACAGGTGGCACATGGAGCCATTTGTGCCGGCACACAAACTGCAGGCAAACTTACCTCACTGCGTATGCGTGCACCTCAGCTAATTTTTGGCTTACCAGAGGCTTGAGGAAGCCTTCTGCAGGCTTTGCAGGCTGAAAACTAGCTCCGTTTCGTCACTTCTTGTTTTTCCGAAAATACCGAAAGTAACAAAACAGGGCTAGTTTTCAGCCTGCAAAGCCTGCAGAAGCCTGCAGAAGGCTTCCTCAAGCCTCTGGGAAGCCGAAAAAGGCCTCAGACTGGCCCAAAATCAGTTGTGAGGCATAATGCAAGTAAGGGGGTGGCGGGGGTGGGGATTACGTGTGCATGTGTAGGGGGCATGGGCGCATTGCCTTCTGGGTACTGGCATGCGAGCACGAACATGCAAGCGCACGCACAGTTTTTGGCACAGGAGCCCCAAAATGTTAGCCACCACTGCTTTAGTGATTCTAGCCATCTCCTTTCAAAGAAGATCATTATCTGAGGCCAGATGGAATCACGAAGGGTTTCTTTCTCCCTGTCTTTTTGCAAAGATGCTCCAAAGGAACTGTTGGCCAACCTGAACTCCTCTCCTCTCTGTGTTGGGGCTTAAAACTGTCTGACATTCAGTCCTGGAACTTCCTAGGTGCAATGTGTCGCTTCCTCGTTTTTCCCTTTGGTGCTTCCCTTCTCTGATTGCATGAAAAGCCATCCCCCCCGCCCCCTCGTATCTGTGCCTAATTTTACAGTCTTGGTGGAGGTTCTGTGTGTGTGTGGTTGTTTCCATATGGAAGATGATATTAATATCCCCTCTGTTGTCTTGCTGCCTCAGCTGGAGTTCCTCAATGAAACCAAACAGGCAAGAAAGTCCAATGCATGCTGCTGACATGCCAGCTTCCCCACCTCTCCACTCCTCACCCCATCCTCCAGTGCTGATTGTGGGTCACTACCACTGGCTGCTGCTCCTAGTCCCACCTACACTTAGAATTGCTCTTCAGATGCTTTTCCCATCAGTCGCACACTTTGCTTGTTGCCGGAGTCGCTTCCTTGAACCCCTTTCCTTACCAGAGTTACAATGACGCATTTGCAGGAGGGGGGACGGGGGGACATGGTTAAGTGGGTTTCAGGGGAGGGGCTGGGAAAGAAAGCCAGGTGTTGGGGATCTCCTACTCCTCCCCTTTTTCTGTTGTGCTGGTCCCTAGTTTATGTCCTTACATTATTGTGGTTGTGTTCTCATTGTGTTGTTCATCGTCTAATTTAACCCTTTGATTTTTTTGTTTTTGTTTCCCCTGTCTTGCACCCTGCTCTGCCTTCCCATTGTATTTTTTTGTGATGTCATCCCCATCCCAACTTCCATAGACTTCCAGCCCTGCTTCCTACGTGAGTAATTTTTTGGAAACAGCTTCCCCCTGGCTGACCCTGGAGTTTCTCCGAGCACTTCCTCGGCCCAAAAGCTTTGCAAGGCCAGAGGCCTGCATAAGTTGCTGCTAACCCCTTTTCCCTCCTCCCTCCTTCCTTTTCCTTCATCTAGGGAGAACTGGAGCATCAGCTACTGCAAGCCAACCCTATTTTGGAGGCCTTCGGCAATGCAAAAACGGTGAAAAACGACAATTCCTCACGATTCGTAAGTCTCGTTGATGGAGAAATCCCCTCCCACCCTGTCATCTACCTCAGAAATCTATGGAATGAGGATCCTGTTTAGCAGCTTCCAATTTCAGACCAACTGAGCCCTGGATTTGAGACAGAAGATAGCATCTTCCTTAGCAGTGGAAAATATTTTCAGATCTGGGACATCAAATCCCAGTTCTCAGCCTTGGCAACTTTAAGATGGGTGGACTTGAATTCTCAGAGTTGAAGTCCATCCACCTTAAAAGTTGCCAAAGTTGGGAAACACTGTTCTACTGGGTGGTTTGCACCCTTCTTAAGTGAATTATTCTGTCACCTTATATGTGTGTGTGGTCTCCCTATCTTCAGGCTAAGGTTGCTTCCCACACAACTATAGCAGGTGGCAATAGCTGCCAAATGTTATAAGGATATCTTTTCTTGTAAGATAATCTCTCCTGTTGAAATCTGTTAAGCTGCTACACTCTTCCTCTATTTCAAGTGCGTTGGAACACAATTCCAACAATTCCTTAGCTGGCTAGGAATTAAAATATTGTCCAACACACCTGCAAAGCACCAAAGAGGAGAAAGTTTGTATACAGCAGTGTGTTTCTAACTAGGCAAGCTGAAGATGGCGTGGACTCCCAACTTCCCAGAATTCCCCAGCCAACATGGAGAATGCGTTGCAGAGATGGGAACTGTGATACAAGACATTGGTCAGCATTCCAAGTAATAAACCCATAGAAATTAGAACTCGAAGGCAGGCAGGATCCTCAAAGAACAGTTTTTTATCAGGTAGATCCTATTGGCATAACTGGCGAAAGCTGATTGTAAACGTTCCTGCGGCTTTCACCTAATTACAAGTAAAAGTTTTCCCTTTTCCCCCCGAATCACTGGGTCACGCTGCCCAATCCAGGAACTGGCTGGTTACTTTGCCCCTCCTCTGGCCAGTCACCTGTGAGAATGTTCTTGGGTTCCCACAGGAAAGTTTTATTGTTTTGGCTACAAACCCCACCTAACTCTTTCCCCTCTCCCTCCACTGTATGGCAGTGTCAGCTCAGTGTAAGTCATTTCGGAGCATCATCAGGGCTGCCACAGCAAGGCCAGGAACAGGAGAGCGGAGATAGATATGGCTGGGGATGTGTAGCCAAAATAAACTTCTTTCTCCTGAGAACCAAGGTCGCTCTCACCAGGTGCCGGGAAGACGTGGACTGAAACCAGCTGGAGTTGGGACGGTGACCTGGTTGGACTATGAGATGGACATCTGACCCGGGGGCATGGACTTTGCGGTTAGTTTGGGTGGGGAAAACCTCGGGTCTTTCAAAGTCGGGTTTTCACCAGCTGTGCCAATATGACATTCCTAATAAATTCGTACTTTGAGGAAACTCCAGGCCTCAGAATTTTGATTGCGTTGGGCTTGTTACTTGGAACCCTAAGAGGCAGCCCTGAAGACTCCAAGATGGCCTCAGCCAAATCGGGAGGCTGTGAATCGGATCGTAGGTAGATGCTAATGTTTGGAATAGACTCTCCTGCTCGAGCAGAGTGTTGGACTAGATGACCTCCAAAGTCCCTTCTGACTCTGTTATTCTATGTTCTATGATCACTTCAGGGTTGACAACATTTAGTTGGGGTGTTATTAAGTAAAAGGCCCACCTTCCCACTGAATTAAAAAAAAAACACTAGTTACAGAAATTTGCCAAAAGGATTCTAAGTTTGAAAGTAGATCATCTCATGTTGGTAAATCTGTATTATTATTTTTTTTAATCATCTTTCTGTTTTGGAAAAAACGAAAAGTTAAGCTGTGCAGCCACTTGGTTGACAGAGGCAGTGTTACGTCTGGCTTGCTGATGAGGAGATCTGAAGGACAGGAAGCAGGCCAAGAACTGTTCTTTTGTTTGGTTTGGCCATTGGCTTCCAGCAACTCCTCCTCATAAACATAAATTAAGAATGGGTTGCCCAGTTACAATGTTGTACAAGCCTTCGGCCTAAGGGCTTCACTTGGTCATGACCGCGAGGGATATGACCGCGTATAATGATAGCATTCAAGAGGATGGAGTAACTTTATTTTTGCATTATCATGGCTTTCAAGGGGTAAAATGGGGCTTTGGCACGAATTGGGACCAGAAACTCCTTTTCTAAGCAACACAGGCGAAAGATGTGACATCATGTGACTGCCCCAACTTACGATGGCAGTTCTGGCAATCCCAGTTGCCATGGTTAGGTGCGAGTCACGTGTGATCACAATATCCCACAATCACGTGATCACTATTTGCAACCTCCTGCCGGCTTCCCCACTGACTTTGCTAGTTGGAAGCCACCAGTGAAGGTTGCAAACTGACAGTCACGTGACCGTGGGGCATTGCAACATCATAATTGCAGTCTGGCTGCTAAATATCCCAATCAAGGAATGCTACGTTGGCTGCTACGTCAAGGACTAGTTTTATAAGTACCCCTAGCTCTGCAGTATTGTACCTTCAAACAGTCACTGAACGTGTTAAATGAGGACTACTTGTGTTGCGCTCATTTTCACCCTTTGCCCACCAGTGGAAAAACTGCTCTGATATTTTGGCATGAAAATTTAATGGTGCGTTGGGCACCTTCAGCTGAGGATACCCACTTTGCTCCTTTAAATACTTCAGAGAACAAAAAAAAAAAAAGCGCCTTGAAAGGTTATGCTTGCAACCCCTTTTAAATATAGCCTTAAACTTTCATGTACCATTTCTTTGATTCCATTCTTTAGAAAGGACAAAATATATAAATGCCTTTTTGAAATCCTATGCCAGCAAACTCCATACACCTCCTTTGGAAGAAAAACCAGTTTTGTTGGTGAAAGTCTTTTTTTTCAGCTTCCTTTTGTATTTTTTGAGAAAGGGTTTTGGTTTTTAGCCACTCCTTTGAAAAGAAAGAAAAATACAAAGGTTTTCTCTTCCTCATAGATGAAAGGCAGACGATTGAGGGTCACATTCCACGGTATTCTTACTTTATGTTAGCTTTTCTTGTTTTTGTGGTTTCTACTCTATTTAGAAAAGATTCATTGCTAACTGAATTGACCAGAGGAATTTGTTAACAGCTTATGCTGTTCACTGGCAACTAAAAAAAATATTTAAAATACCAAACAATTTTTCTGTATCAGCCACACCGTTTTTCTGATCTCTGTTTCATTTCCCTGTCTCTTTTTCTACCCACAGGGTAAATTTATTCGGATTAATTTTGATGTAGCCGGCTACATTGTTGGAGCCAATATAGAGACATGTATCCTTGTTATTAGAGAATAGAAGTTGTAAGTTTGGGCCACGGGAGACCGCAGGCCCAGTTCTCTAGTCGGATAGAATTTGAATTTGAGTGGGCATCAGATCCTGAGCAGATCCTGATGGCTAAAATATCAGGTGTCTGATCCAAAGTATTAGAAGTCCCCCAGGGGCCGAAGGATCCAGGTGGGATGATTGACAAGCCTTGATGGGTGTCTAAGGAGAAAGAAATAGTCCATACATGCCATCCTTAACTTAGAGTGTCCCAGATCTTTTGGAGAAGTCCCGTGCCATTCGCCAGGCCAAGGATGAACGAACTTTCCATGTTTTTTATCAACTCTTAGTAGGTGCTGGTGAACACACGAGAGGTGAGTTTTTCCCTTTTATTTTCAAAGCATCATAGAAATCCTTACCTTCTTCATCCTGTGGCTTAGTGTCCTGCACTTAACAGACCAGCAATAAAGCTGATAGACAATGAACTGATTGGTGCTAACAATAACAATACTCAGAACTTTTTGACTAACCTGAGTGGAAAGAACTCACTAGAAAGAAAGTCCTAACCAATGAAAATAAGTGACGGCAGTAAGTTGTAATATCAGAAGTGTAAAAACAGACCACCACTTTCCCTTTGGGTGGAACCAAACATTTTGTGCATGGGGTGATGGTTGTTCAAAAAGTAAAAAGGGAGTCTTAAGACTTACAGAAATCTAAAGCGGAACTTTAAACCTCCTGAATCTTGGTCTGTCAAACTGATCTAAAATGAAGCCGTGTGCAATTTTGGATGCTCTACACTTCACCCAAGTAACACCCACTGCTGTGTGAGCTGCGCTGTTTCCAGTTGTTTTCTGGATGCAGTTCCAAGGTTTTATCACTTTTAACACCCTACGTGGCACAGGGTTAGGTTACCTGTGGGACCATCTTGCCCAATTACCTTGCCCAATTATACAGGTTTTGGCACCCTCCAGGTCTCCCTTCTTAAATGTCGTCATTCTGAGGGCCTTTTTTAAATTTTTTTTTATTATTTACATGTAGAAAAACTGAACACAGCATGACCATTCTGACTTTTCCTCCGCCATGCACACTAAAATATAGAACAAATAGCATATATACTATTTATACATTGCCAGTTTTGTACAGTCATTATTGACCAAGATGTCCATTCCAGCTCTTTGGATTGTGTTCCCGCATGAGATCAGAGGGACCTTGATTCTTTTTAGCTTTCCAGAGGCCGTGAAGCCCTGGTTGAGGCTGTGAGGTCCTTTGCTCTGGCCTGGTGGGAAGGCACCTTTGCTTTTAATTATCTTTTGTGGGTTGTTGTGCGCCACCTAGAGGCATTGTATGAGATAGGCAGGCAAATAAGTGCTATAAATTTTGTATGCCACCTTCTGGGAGGTCCATGAAATAAGCTTTGTTTCATGCCCCTGTAGGGGAGCTGCTGCTGGAGCCTTTCAATCAGTATCGCTTCCTGTCGAATGGATACCTGCCCATCCCTGGACAGCAGGATAAAGAGATCTTCCACGAGACTATGGAGTCCATGCGCATCATGGGCTTTTCACATGAAGAGATACATTGTGAGTCCCTCTTTTACGCGGGTGCCTATGTCTGCCGCATCCTGGTTGCAATTAAAGAAGGATCTGACTTAACATTCCATTTATGATTGTGGACATAGTTTTATTTATTATGTCCTTTCAGTTAAGTGCAGTACAGATTTAGGATAAAATATTCCATTCAAAAATAATACAGGGAGTCCTTGAATTACAACCACAATTGATCCCAAAATTTCTATCATTAAGCGAGACAGTTGTCAAGTGAGTTTTGCCCCATTTTGCGAACTTTCTTGCCATGGTTGTTAAGGGAATCACTACGGTCAATAAGTGAGTAACTCGGTTGTTTAAGTGAATCTGGCTTCCCCATTGAGGTTACTTGCAAAACGGGAATCACATGACCTTGGGACACAGCAACTGTCTTAAATATGAACTTACATGTTTTTCTTATGTGTACACCTAATTAATATTCTTAAAATATTGTAGAAGGCTATTTCTGCAATAAGAAGTTTTAGCATTGCTTTTAACTCCACAGTTCCATTTTAAGGAATGTTTTACACCAGAGGTCTCCAAACTTGGCAACTTTAAGACTTGGGGACTTCAGTTATGCTGGCTGGAGAATTCTGGGAGTTGAAGTCCACAAGTCTTAAAGTTGCCAAGTTTGGGGACCCCTATTTTATACTATGGTGAATGTTGTGATTTGTTTTTTTTATTGTAATTCCTATAATATTCCTTCATGTAGTGAAGGAGAAGAGTGAGAAACCAAGTGAGAGACTTAAACTTGAAGGGACATCTGAAATAAAGAATATGTCCCAAAACTTCTTTCTTGCACAGAAACTTTAGAGGATTGTGATTTTTCTTACTAATTTTATATAACTTTAAAACAATTAATGCAATATTAAAACAGTAAGAGAAATGACCATGTTGCCAAATGGCTCTTATGATGATCTTTGGGTTTGAAATGTTTTCAATGCTGCTTGTTAGTTGATGCAGTCCCAGCCTGCTACAGGGAATGTCAATATGTTTCATCAATCCAAAAATTCAAATTATTTAAAATTATGAGGGCACTGGAGAAAAGTAACATTGTATGTATCTTTAAAATGTGGTTTTGATAATGCTCCTCCGTCCATATAGGTATGCTGCGAATGGTCTCAGCTGTGCTGCAGTTTGGCAATATTGTCTTCCGTAAAGAGAGGAATACAGATCAGGCTTCCATGCCGGATAACACAGGTATTTCAGATTAGTAGCTTTAAGTGAGAAAGCGCTGACTTTTCAGAAATACTAGCAAGTACAGGTATTTCTCATCTTATGACTGCAGTTGAGCCTGGAATGATGGTCATAAGTCATGACAGTGGTGGGATTCAAACATTTTTACTACTGGTTCTGTGGGCGCGGCGTGGCTTGGTGGGCATGGCAGGGGAAGGATACTGTAAAATCTCCATTCCCTCCCCACTCCTGGGGGAAGGTTATTGCAAAATCCCATTCCCTTCCCACCCCACTAATCTGTTTTCCAGCTCCATTTTCCTGTGCAAGGCAACAAAAGAAGACCCAGCCAATCAGTTGGGATTCAATGGGAGGCAGAGAATAGATGGGGGCAGGGCCAGTCAGAGATGGCATTTGCCTGTTCTCCAAAATTCACTCAAAATTTCTGCTACCGGTTCTCCAGAACTGGTGAGAGACTGCTGAATACCACCTCTGCATGGCAATCATTAAGCTGATGTGGGGAGATGCAGTCTCGGAAATCCAGAATTGGATCATAAGTAGTTCTGGGAATGTCTGTTACAACTTTTGAACAGTCACTACACAACTGGTTGTTAAACAAGGACTGACTTTAAGCACTTGACTGTGATCAGAGCTCATACCATCTTTTTATTTAGGAGTCAGCTGTAGAAGATATAACCCTGTTAAAGACAATGCAAGTGCATGGGGAACATTTTTATCATGATCATGATCATGATCATGATTATTATTAATTTCCACTTTGATTTCCACTTTGGCTCTAAGAAACAGTATTTCCAATTTAAGTTTCACCATAATCACCATATTGAAATTCAGCCTTCTGTCTAACATTCCTGTGAGCTAGGAACCGCTTTTTGAAAGGGAGAAGGGGGTGGGATATGAAATTGAGAAGAAAGCTGGTGGAAATGTCTTGACAAAAGGAACTTATTGGTCTCTTCTGTGCCTTTGCAGCTGCTCAAAAACTCTGCCACCTCCTGGGCATGAACGTCACGGAGTTCACCCGTGCTATTCTTACCCCACGCATCAAGGTCGGCCGAGACTATGTGCAGAAGGCACAGACAAAAGAACAGGTCAGTGGTGCTGATGACTGTGGCTGACATGTTGGTGGATGGTCCTGAAGAGCCCTTGAAGGAGGGTTTGCCAAGATAAATAATAAGTATGTATGGAATGTATGGGCCAAGATGAGCCTGTTTTGATCCCTTCTATTCCTAGGCTGACTTTGCCGTGGAAGCATTGGCCAAAGCCACCTATGAGCGGCTTTTCCGCTGGCTTGTGCATCGGATCAACCGTGCATTGGATCGTACCAAACGCCAGGGGGCATCTTTCATCGGCATTTTGGATATTGCTGGTTTTGAAATATTTCAGGTAAGGGGATCAAGTGTGGTTCCTCTTCCTTTTTCACTACCCAATGAATATGGCACATCTGCAGAGCTGCTTTCAATCCTTTCCTTCAAATTGTATTGTTGATCTTCTCTTTTAAGTAAACCCATAACTTTTCCTGTTTCAGAGCTGTAGTTCTTCCCAACCGAAACCCTAGAGTCTTGACTAGTAGTCTTCATGTTCTTCAAGGAAGACTTGAATGTTCTTGGAGAAGGCATGTTGGATTTATTGTGTCACGTAACAGTTCCCAACAAATATGGCCATGCTGGAAGCTATGGCTGGAAGGCCACAGTTTTCTCATTTTTTACTATCATAAACACTGGAAGAACCTATGCCTGGGTGCCATCTCCCGTATGGAATATGAACAGATTGAGAATAAGGGGGTCACAATGTAAGAAGAACTTGAAAACATGGGGCGGTATCCAGGGGTGGGATTCTACCAGTTTGCATCTATTCACTAGAAGTGGTTGTTAACATTCTAAGCAGTTCAGAGAACCAGTTGTTAGAAGAAATTACTGGCCTAATCCTGTAAGGAAGGCAGGAAGGAAACATTCTGGTGTTGCTTACAGAAACTGCCTCTCCATTAACCTTTATCACATTCTTGGCAGGACTCTGGAGTTTTTTTTCCTCCTTTGCTGGTACTTTGCTTGTGTGGAGTGACCATTCAAAGTTTCAATGGCACTGAAAAAGTGACTTATGACCATTTTTTACACTTATGACTGTTGCAGCATCCCCACAGTCATGAGAGGCCAGGCGAGGAGATGCGTGCCTCAATGTGAATGATACTGAGTTGGCCACATCCAGCCAATAACATGACCACCAAGCCACGCCCACCACCTAAGCCACACTCACAGAACCAGTTGTTAAAAAATTTGAATCCCATCCCTGGCTGTATCACAGGAAATGGGCATTGCGAATGTGGGGAACAGCAGAATCCTGCCACAATTTTTATGGATCATGTGTGCAATGGACAATTTGTTCCTGGCCAATGATAAAGCTATTCACACCACTATTTTCTGGGCTTCAAATGCTATATAATGTCATGTATGTGTCTTAAATTTATTCTGTGTTTTATTTTTTCTACTCCTTATATAGTTATTGAAAGTTTTTTTTATTTAGATTATTATATTAATTTTAAATATCATATTTTCTCTCTAACGTAAGATGTTTTGGACTTGGAAAATAAAAATAAATCATAAGCACTAAGTCTCTTTATACAAAAAATAATTCTATACCAAATCCTCCCTTCAGTAATAGGTCATAAGCCGTAAATGCATGTTGCTATCTAGAAAGATGCTAAAATAGTTTTGTAGTACTAATATAAATCAGCTTTCTCCAACATGATACCCTTGAGTTGACTTGAATTCTCATAGGACATAACTAAAGGGCATTAGATTGTGGAAAAAAGATGTAAACAGCAAAGTCATCAGACAGAAGGTCCTTGGTGAAGGCTCTGAAATAGTTTTACTGCAGAGTTCACCAGATGTAACTTTGGTTGAAAAGAAGAAAATGTGGGCAATTGATGTGGCAATACCAAGGAATAATAGAACAAAAGACAAAGAATTGGAGAATGTTACTCAAGTATCAAGATCTGAAAATCAGAATTGAAAATTAGGGCAGTGGTGATCCCAGAGGTTACTGGCACACTGGGTGTCATATCAAAACATCTTGGACGACACTTAGAAAATTTGCACTTTAATAAACATTTCCATCTTGTCAATTTTTTAGCTGGATTTACACATACACCATTCTAACACATTCTTGGGAAGAACTCCATGCAAATGAAAGCCAACACCAGCTAAAGAAGTGGCAGCTGTGATTTCATACTTTTGTGCATATAATAAAAAGTTAAACTTGAACGTTGCCTGACTCTTGGCGAATTCTAGGCAGGGAAGGAAAGGATTAATGTCAGTATTGTAAAAAGCAAGAAATAAATAGATTTTAAAGCAGAACTATAATAATTCAGTATCAACTGTAATTAAGGAATTTTCTATTTTTCTGCAGCTTCCTTGATATCCTTATTCTGGGCATTGTCACCCAGTAAACTTTAGCTGACAATGTGAATGACAAAGAGGTTTATCTTGACCTGTCAGTAGATTCAGAGGGAGAAAACACAATAAAATGCATCACATGTTGAACTCCCTATGAATGTTTTCTTTTCTCCTACTCTCTCCATCCTGCAGCTGAACTCGTTTGAACAACTCTGCATCAACTACACCAATGAAAAGCTCCAGCAGCTCTTCAACCACACCATGTTTGTGCTAGAGCAGGAAGAATATCAACGAGAAGGCATTGAGTGGAATTTCATTGACTTTGGCTTGGACCTTCAACCCTGCATTGATCTCATTGAGAGACCAGTGAGTGGCCTGGAATGCTGTGTAGTTGTTACGTGTGGAGGGCCAAGAACAGATGGCCTCTAGCTCTTTGGAGAACTTTCTCCTCTTCAGTGGTTCTTGCACCTTGTTCTTGCATTTGTTCTTGCTGGTGGGGTGGTCTTTTTTTGACAATTCTTTAGGGTGGGAGTCAAGATCAGATCTTTAACTTGGATCGTAAACTTCTATCTGATCTCTAAATAATCCACAGTGGAAGACGATTGTTTGCATAACATCTCAGGTGTGATGCAATCGTTGTTCCTTTTGTAACCCATTTTCTCCCACGCCCTGATCAAGTTACCTACAGCTCTTGGAATGTTGCTAATGTTGTTGGGTCTATCTCGCTTTCTCCCAGGCAAACCCTCCAGGGCTGCTGGCTCTACTAGATGAGGAGTGCTGGTTCCCTAAAGCCACCGATAAGAGCTTTGTGGAAAAAGTTTCCCAGGAGCAGGGGTCCCATCCCAAATTCCAAAAACCCCGGCAGCTGCGGGATAAAGCTGACTTCTGCATCATCCATTATGCTGGCAGGGTAAATGGCAACTTCTCTTGTCTCCCTTCCCTTTTTAGTGGCACATCCATGTTTACTGCCTTTCCCAAACTGGGACCTTTCAGATGTCGCGAATTATGACCTGTTATTATCTCAGCCACAGGTTATCATGAGAGAATTTCAATTTTGGGTCCTCAGCTCTAATGTTAGCAACTAAGGAAAACGCTGATAAGTTACTATGGTAGCTGGGACTTTAAAATTAAATTGCCACTGGGCAGCTATTTTGGAGAAAGCATGGTTTTCTATCAGTTTTTCTTCCATTCCTTTGCCCAGCTGTTTTTTTTCTTTGGAGTTTGTCCTGCTGGATTGCAGGATGGATCCATTTAGTTGTGCATTGTGCTTGCCTAGTTCACAGAGCAAAGTTATCGGGGCTGATGTGATGAGAGGTTTTATTTTTCAGCCAGGCTGTGAACAGAGTTTGTTGCTGATTAGGGCTGAGAGGGAGTGACTGATTTGAGGTCATCCATTGGCTTTCATGCTTAAGAGAAGACTAAAATCTGTTTCTCTTGCACCTTATACCACTCTGGATTGTGCTTAATTCCTTGAGCCTTTGAAATTCTAGAACACGGAATCTCAACACCTTTGGACGATTTTAACCGAAAAAGGATGGAGTAGACAGTACAAACGGTCCTCAATTTATAATCACAGTTCAGATCAAAACTTCCATTGCTAAGTCAAGTAGCCACTAAGTCATTTGCATCCAAACTGCTGTTTTTTTTTTTTTAGTGATTAGATTAAATTAACAGAGTTGGAAGAGACCTTGTAGGTCATCTAGTCCAAACCCCCACCCAAGCAGGAGATTAAGCAAACCCCCATGGTAATTTAGTGGATCATGTGATTGTTAAGCAATTCCAGCTTCTTCCATTGACTTTTCTTGTTGCGAAGGTTACAAATGATGATCAGGTGACCCTGGAACACTGCAACCATTATTCCAAGTGCCCAAACTTTGATCATGGGACCTCAGATATACCGCAATGGTCGTAAGTGCAAGGACCGATTGTTTGGTCGCTTTCTTCAGCACTTTCATAAGTTCGAACGGTCACTAAACAAACAGTTGCAAGTTGCGGACTACAGGACAAGGCCAGATGGATTTGCTACGAACAGTTCTGACGTCGTTTAACCTTTTGATCCTTTCTCGTCTTCCTTCCCCCTCCCCGTTTTCATTGAAAGGTTGATTACAAAGCGGATGAGTGGCTCATGAAAAATATGGACCCCTTGAATGACAATGTGGCCACTCTTCTTCATCAGAGCACGGATAAGTTTACTGCTGAACTATGGAAAGATGGTAAGAGGGTTGAAATCCTGCTATAACCAACAGCTGCTCAGCTTCATAGTATTTGTTGCCTGTTAATAAGGATAGCTTGCTGATTGTATTGTATGTGAACGTGACTTCTCGTGTGTGAAAATCCCTGTCACTGCTGATACTAACCACTCTGCTATTTGCTGTTTCTCTTTTCTTCTTTCTTGTTCCACTTCTTCTGTCCTGTAATGGATGATCTTGTGAAACCTTATCCTTCCCTTCTCTCCACTTGCCTCTTCTGTCCTGTCCTGTCGCCAGAGATCCAGAATATACAGAAGGTTTATTTCTTTGACAGCTATGCCGTGGCATCTCAGGTTCCAGCCGAAAGTAGGTTTCTTCCTTTCAACATGCAAGACATGCCTGCATGTAGTCAGAAAGGTGACAGGTCTCTTCTGGGAAACAGTGAGACATGCATCAGTTCGTCTTAATTTGGGATTTGATTTGCTAAATAAATACTAAATCCCATTCACTTAAATAGGGATGAACCTCAAGTTAAGGTGTTTTAGAAAGGCCATTTAAAAGTTGTTAATGAACTTGAGAATTAAAGTTCCAAATCTTTCTCCATTTCTTTTCTTTTGACTGAGCTGTTTGGCTAAAGTACCCTCGCCTCTCTTTATTCAAAACTCTGTTTCCTGCACTTTTTAAAGTCACTTTTAGATGAGGATATTTTGTGAAATTCCCATGGATATTTAAATATATTTTATCATTGATTTGTACAAGCAGTCCTTGACTTACGAGCATATATGGGACCAGAATTTCCATTGCTAAAGCAAGGCGGTTGTTAAGTGAATTGCGTCCAATTTTACAATTTTTTTTTTGTTACGTGAATCACATAGTTGTTAAGTGAGTTGTTAAATGGACATTAAATAAACCCAGCTTCCCCCATTGACTTTGCTTGTTAGAAGCTCACTGGGAAAGTGACAAATGTCAATTCCATGACCCCGGGACAATCATAAACATATGCCAGTTGTCAAGTGCCTGAATTTGGATCCTGTGATCGTGGAAATGCTACAAAGGTTGTAAGTGTGAGCTCGTAAGTCGCTTTTTTCAATGCCTTGGTAACTTTGGTCATTAAGCAAATGGTCGTAAGTCAAAGACTATCTTCAATCTTACCATGTTTCCCAATGTTTATTCCTTACTTTTCCTACTGGAGAAAGTTTGATCATATAATTCAATATGTACAGTTTCTTAAATTATGTGGTAAGGTTTTCTCTGTTCATTGCTATTTTGGTAAGTCATAAACACAAAAATATACAATATCCCCTAACCTGCTAATGTGGAATGAAAATAACAATTCCACACGCAGTGTATAGTGGCAGATTAATGACTTATTAGTACTAAGAACCAGGTACTACTGAGAGAAATCAATTCTTTATTGCCGAATAATACTGTATTTACAACATATTAGTTTCCATGCTGCTTACAATTTAAATTGAGTGGCTTCAAAACAGGTAAGTAAATGTCTGTCCAAAATCTTAAAGAAGCTTGCTTGGGAATCTTACTGGACTGGACTATCTCAATGCCATACTTTAAAAAAAAAGTCCCTAAAAGGAAGAGGGTGCAACTGGGAATGTTATGATATCACCAGAATGGGCGGCATCAATATTTTTGGCGAAAAGATTAGATGTTTATGGGGTGCCTGATGCTTTAAGTCAGGGTTTTCCAACCTTGGCAACTTTAAGATGGTTGGGAGTTGAAGTCCACATATTTTAAACTTGCCATAACATTTTGGCCATTTGGCTAAGATCAAGTGTAGTGTTCTTAAAGTTGCCAATGTTGAAAAATACTGCTTTTAAACTCTCCAATCTCTTCATTCAGTCTGGAAATTGCAAAGGAGTACTGGGAGGGTTTGATGTGGCCATGTTGCCCTTCCTCACCCATCCAAATTATCTGCATCTCCTATCTAGTCCTCCTTTAAATGCAGTATAGTCCAATAATTGGGTAACTTCTGCTCCTCGCAGGATAACTCTCATAGATGTATGTTTACTTGAGACGGAAATTGGAAACTGAGGAAATCAACATGTTTTTTGGAGTTTCAATATGGGGAATAGGATGGAGAGATCAAAAGCTTTTTCTCCTTCTCCCTAGTGGATCGGATTGTGGGTCTGGACCAAGTAAGCGGGATGGGAGACCTGGCCTTTGGCGCCTCCTACAAGACAAAGAAAGGAATGTTCCGGACTGTGGGACAGCTGTATAAGGAGTCGCTCTCCAAACTTATGTCAACCTTGCGCAACACCAATCCCAACTTTGTACGGTGCATCATACCAAACCATGAGAAAAGAGTGAGTGGGAACTTTGGGGCTTGGGATTCGTTCATTCATCGACTGAAGGAAGCCATGAAAGATGTTGACCATTCCTTCTTAGACCTATCAGAAGACCTTAAGATCTCCCCTGTAGCACAAACATGTGAAGTATTTTTCTTGATTAAGATATAGAATAGCAGAGTTACAAGGACCTTGGAGATCTTCCAGCCCAACCCCCAACACCCCCATAGGCAGAAGAGACCCTATACCATTTCAGACAGTCCCTTCCTAAAAATCTCCAGGGATGGAGCACCCAGAACTTCTGAAGGCAAGCTCTTCCACGGATTGATTGTTTTAATTGTCACAATTTTTTCCCCTTATTTTTAGGTATAGTTAGTTAGAAACTAACTCTTTGTTGGTTTCCATCCATTGCTTCTTGTCCTATCTTCAGGTGCTCTGGAGAATAGATTGATCCTCTTTTTTGTGGCAGCCCCTTAGACATTGAAAGATTACTATCTTGTCATCTATAGTGACCTCATACACTCCAAGGCTAGAGTAGAGTAGAGTAGAGTAGACTAGAGTATAGTATAGTAGAACAGAACAGAACAGAACAGAACTGGAAGGGACCTTGGAGGTCTTCTAGTCCAGCCCTCTGCTCAATCAGGAGAACCTATACTATTTCAGATGAGTGACCGTCTAATGTCTTCTTAAAAACCTCCAGTGATGGAGCACTCACGTTTTCTGAGGGCAAGCTGTTCCATTGGAGTGTTGTGGACTAACAGCGTTGTTAGTCAGTAGCTAACACAGACTTGGGCATTTTATGGCAGTCCCTGTTCTGCCCATGTAAATTGCTTTTATTTTAAAGGTGACTTCCTTTTTTTTTTTTCAGTTTAGATATCTCTGTGCTTGCATGCATGTTCACAGCCCTATGGCCCTCTAGAACTGTCCCAGTTTCTCATGTGACCCTTGGAAAATTAATTGCCCACCCCTGAGCTAACAACACCGTATCTTAACCAAGAAAAAGCTTCATATGTCTATGTAACAGGGGAGTACAGGTAATCCTTGACTTACAACCATAATGGCGCCTGCCCATCACGGTTGTAAGTCTTGACAACCATAAAATGGTTGTCCACCCAAATGACAGACACAATTTCCTGACCTTTTTTGGGATTGATGTTAAGCGAATGTAGTGTTAAGCTATGTTAAGGGGCAGTTTTGCTGCAAATAGGAAATAACTGCTGGATTTTGGAAAACTGTTACAAAATGTGGGTCATGTGATCACAGAATAAGGCAAATGGCCGCAAATGCAGGCTTGTTGCCGAGTACTTGAGATGCAGTCATACGACCATCAGGGAGGTCGGCTGTTGGAACTGGATTGTAAGTGCTCCCGCCCCCGCCCCAGGAAGCCTGTTGTAACTTCAGTCACTAAGTATCCTTCAGTCACTAAGTATCCTGTCATAAATCGAGGACTACTCAGCCCTCGGTAGTACTCTTCCTCATGAGAAAAATATCTTGAAGATGAAATAATTAGTCAGCCTGATTGTATGAAGAAAATTATGAGGAAGTTAAGTGTGTTTCGTATTGGAAACTATTGCGTGTGTGTCTTTTGAGTGTAAAAGAATGTAGGTGATATAATATGAGGATATTGAATTTAAATCAAAGGAAGCCTCGGGCCAAATTCTCACTCAGCCATGCCATTCTACAGAATTAATCAGCCATGTATCTTCAGCCTCATTTATCTCACAAAATTGTTATGAATGTGAGAGCAGCACGCCTTGAGCTATCTGCAAAAAAGTTGACGATAAAGGTGAAAAAGAAATAAGAAAAATAAGAAGGGATATTGTTAGGGGCTGACTTTAGAGTGCTGAAGAATTCCCATCCAGATTCTTCGGGAACAGACCCTCCTGTGCCTCCTGTGGCCTTTTCTCACACATCCTTCCCTTGGCACTTGTTAACAGGCTGGAAAACTGGAGCCACATCTTGTACTGGACCAGCTGCGTTGCAACGGAGTCCTTGAGGGAATTCGAATCTGCCGCCAGGGATTCCCCAATCGCATTATCTTTCAGGAATTCCGCCAAAGGTACGCCATTTTGGTGATGGATCTTCAGCAAAAGAGGACGTATGCAGGAAGACCAAAACAGTTCTCAGTTATTTAGGATTTGATCTTCAGCCTTAATGCTCTTAGAATTTGGAGATACCGCTTATGAAATTCCAGTTGATACTCAGGTTTGTAGCTTATATTTTGCTGTGTGTCAGAGTGGAGTGTTAAAAATGTTGGATTTGGACCAGGGAGAGATAGACTGAAGTCCAACTTCACTAACTGCTGTCTCTCAGCCCAATGATGGTAGCTGTTAACAGCTGTTAAAATGGAAGACAAACCTCTCAACTGACTTTGTGTGGAAAAAATGAGAAAAAAAAAACCCCAAAGGAATAGAAATGAATTGTATGTAGTGTGACTAAATATCACTTTGAAACTCCTTGGTTTCCCCAAATTCCTCAACAGGTACGAGATCCTGACACCAAATGCCATTCCCAAAGGCTTCATGGATGGAAAACAGGCCTGTGAGCGTATGGTACGTATGGGGTTTGCTGGCTAGAACAGTCAAGGCAACCTGGGCTAAAACGAGTCCACCCCCAGAGTGGTTTGAGTGGATCCCTCATCCTCTTCTGTCCTTCTGGCTCTTTTGTCATTCCAGATCAAGGCTTTGGAGCTGGACCCTAATCTCTACCGCATTGGCCAGAGTAAGATCTTCTTCCGGGCTGGCGTTTTGGCTCACCTAGAAGAGGAACGAGATCTGAAGATTACAGATATAATTGTGTCTTTCCAGGCAGCGGCCAGGGGATACCTAGCTCGCAAGTGAGCACTGAACAGGGACTGGGTTGAATTATGACCTAGATCTAAAAAGCATGGACAGGATTGATCTAAAATAGACTTCCCTATATGTTGATGGATTTGAACTTCCCGAATTTTCAGATTATGATTCTTCTCCCTACTTTGTTACTTGATTATCTTTTTAAATAGGAGACTGAACTAGGAGCATCATAGGTGTGAAGCTGAGGGAGGGGAGGGAAGAAGCTCTAACCATTGGCAATGCCTGTTAAGCTGCTATATTTGAAGTTTGAATGATTGTAAGCTGCCTAGAGTTGCCTCTGGTGAGGTGGGCAGCATATAAGTTTAATAAACAAATATATAAATTTGGTAGCATCTGAAGACCCAGAGTTTCCTGATTCCACAAAGAAGATATGATAGAATTGTTCTCTAAAAGATAACATTTTCTTTTGTAGTAGTCCATAATTGATAACTTAATAGATTTACAGATAGCTCTTCGACTTCACAATTGATCACTTAGTTTGAAGTTACAACAAACCTCCCTAGGGGTAATTACAATCTGGTTCCAAAGTTCTGATGGCCACACCCCCTTGGTCATATGACTACATGTCAGGTGCTCGGCAACCCGCCCACATTTCGGCCATTTGCAGCATCCTATGGTCACATGACCATGTTTTATGATGTCTTTTGAAGAAAACCAGCATTTACTTCTGGTTTTCAGCAAAATTGGACCATACTTAACAACGGGAGTGGGGGGTGGGAGGGGCTCACTTAACAACCATTACAAAAAAGATCATAAAATAGAGTCTTTATATGGGTGACCCGACTTACAACCGTCACAACTTATAATCGTGACAGGCAGTCATGTCAAGATTTACCCGTAGTAGATTTAATTCTCCCTATAACCCAAGGGTCTTCCAACTTGGCAACTTTAAGACTTGTGGACTTCAGCTCCCAGAATTCCTGAGCTAACATGACTGGAGGAGGAATTCTGGGAGTTGAAGTCCACAAGTCTTAAAGCTGTCAAGTTTGAAGACCTCTGCTATAGCCCACCCCCATTGGCTTTCCTCTCCCCTTTTTTAAAATCTTCAGCCTATATAAAATGTAAATTATATGGACTTTTTCATTTGGTATAGGAGAGGGGCAAGGCGTGTTGTAGTCCCAGCACAGGCACATTTAGCTCCCTAAACATGGCTGTCGGTGTGGTAATCATGGGACTCATGGATGGTCTTCCCCTCACCCCACCCCCTTCATCTCCTAGAGCTTTCATGAAAAAGCAGCAGCAGATGAGCGCTCTCAAAGTTATGCAACGCAACTGTGCAGCCTACCTCAAACTGCGCCATTGGCAGTGGTGGCGCCTGTTTACCAAGGTGAGTCAAGATGGTTAGATCTGCAAAAAGACATCGGTTACTAGGCAGGAGACCGTATCATTGCAAGATCAGTTGGTGAAAAGTGGGAAAGCAGACAGGAATGACTAGATTTCTAAAAAGCGTCTTGAGTGGCGACGGAGGGAGGGAAGATGGCTGGTTATTTCACTTCTAGTAAACTGAAGCAGATTTAACATCTCACAGATTTATAGAGCCACAGGTCATTCCCCCCCCCCAAATGTCAGCTTCCTCCTTTCACAGATTGTATAGAAGGGAACATCAATACCTATTGTACGTTTTTCCTCCCAGGTGAAGCCTCTGTTGCAGGTGACACGCCAGGATGAGGTGATGCAAGCGAAGGCAGTAGAACTACAGAAAGTCCAAGAGAAGCACACAAAAACCCAACTGGACCTTAAGGAACTAGAAAACAAATACCAACAGGTAAATAGGAATAATTGAGAACTAGGCCTACTTCCCTCCAGCACACGGTTGTTGTCTTCCTACAGTTGGAGCTCTTATCCATTCCTTTGTCACTTTTCTTCTTGGATCTGTGAGATCGTTCTTCGTATGCCCCTCTCTCCTTTCTCTCAATTTGCTGAGGTGTTCTAAGTTGTTGTTTTTTTGGCTTGCCAGGAAACTTCTCTCTAGATTCTAGTAGCATTCTGCGTTGAACCTCTGCTTCGTTCTGCTAGTTATTTTAATTATCCCTGATCTTGATTGCTCGCTTCTCTTTCTTCTCAATTAGCCCTCATCATTGGAGAGTTATGTTCCATTTTCTCAGCCTCCCTCTGTCCCAGTGCCTGTACTTCAAAGTCTCTCTTTCCAGCATCTTTAATAAGGGCTCTCTAGGTGTACTTTTTTCTTATTATACCTACAAAATGATTTTAGGATAGACTTGGGATGATAATATGAACTGTTATAAAATAAACTAAGTAAATTATGACTATCCTGTAAAACATGAATGAATAAAAGTATAGTCAAATGATTGATTAATAATGATACTAAGGTATTTAATTTTTGATTGACAATATGAGATCATATGCAATGTAATTGTAATCGAAGACTACGAAATGGAAGCACAAAACAATTTGTAAACCAACTGGCATGCTGTATGTACACCTATGGAAGATAGCTTGATGTTTTTATGTTTTCTTTGTTTATGTTTGTTTTTAAAAACCAATAAAAAAATTTTAAAAAAGAAAAGAAAGGGCTCTCTAGGATGGTGGCAGCATGCTAGCTTGATTTCCCATGCACCATTTCCTGTTTACATGTAGCCCTTGACTTATGTCCACAACGGAGCCTGCCTATCATATTGTAAGTCATGATAGGGGTAAAAACATGACCGACCTTATTTTACAACCTTTTTTTGTGAAGGTTCTTAATCGAACCTGTAGTTTCGTACAGGGGTAGTCTCACAAAAAAATGAAAGTATCAGTTTTGGCAAACTGTTATAAAACATGATCACGTGACTGCAGGACACTGTAAACCGCTGTAAAGGTGGCGGTGATGCTGAGCACCTGAAGTTTGATTACATGACTATGTGGGAGGCAACCATTGGAACTTCGAATTCAGATATCTTAAGTAGCTCCGAGGTGGGTCTTCACAAGTTCAAATTGTTGCTAAGTAAACGGTCATAAGTCGAGGGAAACTTGTAAAAGAACCTCAGGAAGTGAGGTGGAGGAAGAACTTCACCCAAGATGCTTACATCACAGAGCAGTTTCATCCATCGTGGTGCTCTGAAGTAGCGCTTTCATGAACCTCATGCTTGGTTTTCTTGATCCTATTTATATATCCTATTTATTTATGCAGAGGAATTATTGACTCTGTCATCTGCACCTCTATAATTGTTTGGTTTGGCTCTGCAACCAAACAAGACGGACATAGACTTCAACATATACCGTTATTAGAACTGCAGAAAAAAAAACCAATTTCTACCAACCTGCCTTCCATCGAGGACCTGTATACTGTACGACTCAAAAAGACGGCTGTAAAAATATCTACAGAGCCCTCACATCCTGGACATAAATTGTTTCAACTCCTACCCTCAAAACGACACTATAGGGCACTGCACACCAGAACAACTAGACATAAGGACAGTTTTTTTCCCCAAATGCCATTATACTGCTAAACCACTAATTCCCACAACACTGTCAAACTATTTACTAAGACCGAATTACTATTAATTTTCTCATCCTTCCTAGTATCTATCTGTTTCTACTTATGACTATAACCTTGTTGCTTGTATCTTTACAATTTATAATTTTTATTTAGTTTCCTAGTATGATTGGACTGCTTATTTAGTAACCGATCACTATCACTAAGTGTTGTATCTTGATGATTCTTCATGAATTTATTTATTTTTACATACTGTGAGAGCATATGCACCAAAGACAAATTCCTTGTGTGTCCAATCACACTTGTAATAGAATAAAACATTCTATTCTGTTCCATTTTTGTGGCAGCTCTCAGAGGAGAAGGCCATTCTGGCTGAGCAGCTGCAAGCTGAGACAGAGCTGTTTGCTGAAGCTGAGGAGATGCGGGCCCGGCTGGCAGCTCGGAAGCAAGAACTGGAGGACATCCTGCATGAGTTGGAATCACGGGTGGAAGAGGAGGAGGAGCGATGCCAGCAGCTACAGGGAGACAAGAAGAAGATGCAACAGCACGTTCAGGTATGGAAACCATGTTGGCTAAAAAGAGGGGATCCTACTCTAAGGCAAAAAAAATACTGGAAGAAAATAAGGAAATAGTTACAAGAAATTGCAAGATAGAGAAGACATGGAATACTATACAGTCTGGGAAAAATAATATGATTGGTTAGACTGTAGGAATAAAAAAGAAGATGGTCATAGAAGATGCTAGTCCTGTCTGATTTTATAAGTTTTATTCAGAAGTCAACCTTCCAGTGGCAAAACAATCAGCACATACAATCATAATCTTCTATAGATTATTCATTACATAGCATAGGGATTTTTTTTCATGCTGGCATTGGGCATTTGAAACTTTCTAGAAAGTTCTGTTATATGCCAGGGCCTTTTCTGAGAAGGTGATGAAGCTTCGTTCAGCGTTTAGATAAGCTTTGTGGGATATAAATGCCATTTTCTTCCAAAGCACATGATGAAGTAGCTTATCTGCTATATCTTCACAAGCGATGTGAGGTTAGACAAAAAATCTGTTTCATAGCTACCCATTGAATTTAGGAGTAAGCAAGATTTTAAACCAGATCTTGTCCTTATACTCTAACACAGCTTGCCCCAGCTTGATGCTTTGCAAATGTATATTGTATTAAACTCCAACAGTCCTCAGCTAATATGACCAATAACCATGTTGGCCAGAGGATTTTAAAAATGTTAATCAAACACATTTGGAGGGCGCCCATTGACAAGAGGCGCAGTAACACCACATTTTTCTAGCTCTCCAATAGAATAAATACCCCCACGAGTTTAGAAAGTTCTACTAAGCTTGCTGTTTATCTAGAAAAACCCAATACTAGATTTAGAAGTGTCGCCATCCCTTTGACACATTGGGTATCTCTTGGCTTCTTTAGGACCTTGAAGAGCAGCTGGAGGAAGAAGAGGCTGCCCGACAAAAGCTGCAATTGGAGAAGGTCAGCACAGAAGCCAAGCTGAAAAAGATGGAAGAAGATCTGCTGGTGCTCGAAGACCAAAATTCAAAGTTGCTTAAGGTGAGTGTGGAGATTCCATTTTGCCATGAAGGGAAATAAATATGTGCCGGAGTGTACTTTCTATTATGTGGGCTCTCTTCATAAATATGAGATCTATCTTTGGTCATCCAAACTATGTGTGCTAGAAAAGGAAGGTGATTTACCGGTATTGTTTGTTTATTTATTTATTTCTATTTTATTTTGCTTCTGCTTTCACTCCTAGAAGAGCAAATTTATAAGAGAAGGTGGAAAAAATCTTAATGAAAACCACAACAGACATTAAAAAAATAAATTCATGATTTTTTACAAAGTAAGAAAAACAAAATAAATCAATGACAATATTAAGGGCAGCCTGGTCCTAGATTAATTCTTAACATCTAAATGCCTAAACCATAAATAAAAGAAGCTCTCCTTTAGTTGAGCTCAGCTCCTGATGACTTCATGGACATAGCTGTGTCGTTTCCTTGGCAACGTGCAGAGATGGTTTGCCATGAGCACCTTCTGGGATTCTTTTTTAAAACTTCCCAAGCTGGCCTGTATCTTTGGAATTTCTTGAGGGTCTGTCATTCCAAATGCTAGCAAGGAGTATTCCTATTTGACTTTCCTAGGTCAGAAAGAGTTGGTTAGTTAATGCTACCTAGCTGGGTGTTTGAAGAAACAGGTTATTTTCAATTGCTTTATGAAAAAAGATAATCTCTTGAACATCTCTCTGGGAGTAGATTCCACAACAGGACTACTATCATGAAAAGGTCTCGCTCCAGGCCATTGTGCTATGAACCAGACTACCGGTGAGACCACAGACATGGTTTCCAAGCTGATCTGAAATCAGGAGTGGGACGTTATTGGAGGAAGCAGTCTTTAAAGTGCCTGAACCTTAAGCCATCACAGCTAGTGCAGAATGGTATGCCCTGGAGGCAACAAGTTCCTTAACTCTTGTGCACTTTCAAACATGATAGACTATAATTGTCATAATTGCTAGATATGATAGCCAGTGGGTAAACCTTCTGTATAGTTGTTGAAGGCCCTGCAAGAGAGATGAAAGCTGCATTCAGGAAGCTGGAGACCAATAATGAGCCTGGACATTGACCAATAGGAGGCATGATAACTACCCAGATTTAGTTTTCCAGGTACCCAACCTCATATATTCTCTTCTCTTTCTGATTACTGCCTCCACTAGGAGAGGAAGCTGACAGAGGAACGCCTATCTGAGTTCTCTTCTCACATGGCAGAAGAGGAAGAGAAGGTGAAGAGCCTGAGCAAACTGCGCAATAAATATGAAGCTGTCATCGCCGACATGGAAGGTATGCCAGATCATATTTAGTATGGATCTTTGGTCTGGCAAAGTAGACATTGCTTATTCCCCATCCCTTGGCATCTAAGCCACACCTCATGACCTGCATGTAAAGTATTCCTAGTTTAGTTCTAGACTGTAGCTTCTATGGTAGGCAGATAAAGAATAGGATCCTAGAGGGGCCATTTCCCATTGAGATAGAGCAATTCTGGGCCCAGGCAGACAAGTGTTTTGGTCCATTTAATGTTCCTAGGCAGGTGATTCTGAACCAAAATACAGCGAGTCCTTTGTCTGATTTTTCCCATTTCTCTTTCCTCCCATCCTTCCAGATCGGCTCAAGAAGGAAGAAAAAGGCCGCCAGGAGCTGGAGAAGCTGAAACGGAAGCTGGATGGGGAGGCAGGTGACCTGCAAGAGCAGGTGGTAGAGCTGCAGCAGCAACTGGAGGAGCTCCGCCAAGCATTGGCAAAGAAAGAGGCTGAGCTGCAGGCAGCTTTAGCCAGGTAAGCATTTTCCTTCTTTCTCCTGGAGGAAATGTCACACCATGAAGCAACCCAGCAACCCAACCATTTCCCAATCTTAGTCATTTTTAAGTTGTATGGACTTCAATTATAAGAATTCCCCAGCTGTGCTGTCCTGCTCAGACACACACACACATAACTGTAGTTTAATGGTTTTATTAATATTCCCAGCGACTCCCTTCACCAAAACCCAGAACTGTCCCAATTAAGTCCAGCTACAAGCAGACCAGTGCTAGTTGGTCACAGAGCAATGGCTAATGAGTCCAAAAGGCAGTTGAAACTTTCCCAATCAAAATAAACCCACCAGGCAAAATTAAATCCACAATACAAGAGGGTTCACAAGAAAAGTCCAGAGTTCACAAGGCACAGTGTCAGTCCAAAGCAAGGCAAGAATTGCAGTGACCAGAAAAAACACAGCTAGGAAATGAATGTGTTGTTCCCAGCATCACTTCCATCTGTCTGCTGTGCTAAGTAGCCCGTTTCTGATGCAGCCCATCAAGAAGGGCAAGGCTTTCTCCTCACAAGTAATCTGGCTGACCTTCTCTGAAGAAACTCAGAAAGTAATATTCAAGGAAGCTATGCCTCAATAAATCCTTTATAAATTATAAATTCTTTATAAATTCTTTTGAAGTTTCCAAGATATGATATTCACACCAGGACTAGCATTAAAGATACATGAAATCTCTGTAGGCCTTGTTTTCTTCGATCTTGCCTTCTCTGTTCCTGCTTTTTCTCGGCCCTGCTGGTTCTTGGATCAGGTGCAGAAGGCAGTTCCTCTTCCTCATTACTGCCTGGCTGCAGCTGCATTCTTTCTCCAACCTAAAGCCTCAGGGGCTGTCTTGCTGCAGCTGTACACCAGCCTTTGTGCAGCATACCATACCGTGTGGAAGAAGGCTCTGCTTTTCAAACTGAGTCACATCATCCCTGTAAAATCCTCCATCCTCTAATAAACAACATGCACAGTGATAGATCTTTGCAGATCATTATGGGGGAAAACTCTGAACAGGATCGTACCCAACATGGTGCCTGCCAGGACTCATTGTTTAAGTGAGGTCTTGACTCTACCCCTCAGTGTGACTGTGGTGCTCCTCGAAAAATATCTATCACATTGTGTCCGAATGTTCATCAAGAGTTTACACCAGGTCAGTGTCTGATTTTTTCATCATAGACCACTCTGTCCTTGAATGGCTGGGTGGACTGAACATTAACATATTATAAGTTCATGTATTTGCCATACGTTAAATCAGTGGCCCCCAACCTTTTTTGTGCCACGGCCCGGTACCGGCATCACAAAATGATCCGCGGCCCGGTACTGGCATCAGCACGCATGACAAGGCAAGGCGAACCGAGTGACCGGCCAGCCAGCCGTCCCCCGCTTCTCCCCGCCACCTTCAACTCCTCCTTTGTACCTTTGTCGATGGGCTTCGCTTCGGGACGGCTTCGGGACGGTCACTCGGCTCGCCTTGCCATGCGTACTGAAAGAATCCTCGCACCTTAGTTTCATTCGAAGCCCCCCCCCCCCTTTGATGAAACTAAGGCGCGAGGATTCCTTCAGCACCCAAACGCCGCTTTCCAACCAGAAAAGCTCACCTGGAAGCACTTTCTCGTCAAATCAAACAAGATGGCGGCGCCCAGCAAACCGGCGGCCCGGTGGGAAATGTTCCACGGACCAGTACCGGTCCGCGGCCCGGTGGTTGGGGACCCCTGCGTTAAATGAATAAATAAATGTGTGTCAACCAAATCCCTCTCAGATGGCTGCTTGTAGCCATTGACCGACTCTCCTCCAGACCTGCCTGGAATTGATTCACCCTCCTCCGAGATGACATCTAGAGAGGTAGCTGGGGGAGTCATCACACCAACCAGCTTTGCTGGGAATTGAAGCCTCCACATCTTAAAATGTCCAAAGTTGGGAAACACTACCCCACAAGGACTTCTTTTTTTCTATATGAAATATGCGACATGCTGATAATAATTTAATGTGCTTTGTGTAGCTTCTGTTGATATGAAATCAGTGCAGGGCTTTCTTCAAGTCACACTATAAATATCTAGAAGGCACATCTCAAGTCCAAGGACCAAAATAGATGCAACAACATTCAAGCCATTTGGAATATATGTGAATGGCTTTTGAAGAAGCAATTGGCGAGGGAGATGGAGTGGAGAAAGGGAAGGAAGGGAAACCCCATCCAGATTCCCCTCTAAATCTGTATACATCCAAAAGAGAAACTCATTCAATTTTAGTGAATATATTGAGAATATTTTTTTTCTGTGCTGCCAGATGAGATTGTGTGATTATGTGAATTCTCAGAATAACCATCAACAGAACTTTGTTGATAGCAATAATATAGTATATTATATACAGTAATAATATACTAATAATATACAACATGGTATTACAGAAAATAGAGTACATTTATAGCAATTAACTATATAACTTGCCTTTATTTCTTTTTATAGCAGTGGGTACTAAGGAGTAACAAATGGCAGCTGTTATAAATTATTATTATTAGATTTTATGCTCCCTTTTTTATATGAACTTCAAGGCGATAGACATACGTAATATTTTTCCCTCCCATTTTCCCCACAATAACAACCCAGTGAAGAGGACTGGGCTGAGAGGGAATACCTGGCCAGCTGGCTCTCATGTCTATGGTGGGACTAGAATTCTCAGTCTCCTGGTTTCTGGGCCAGTACCATAACCATTACACCAAACTGACTCTTTTATTCATTCTTCTCCATGCACTTCTGATCTAGTTCAAATGCCATTGTATCTTCAATTCACTTTTTAAAAAGCCAGTTGTGCAACAATCAATTATATCCCCTAAAAGGCATCTCCTGCTTTTTATTTAATCAATTATGCTAATGTGTCTATTTGAGAATCTTCCTGCGTTCTCCTTATTGGTAGTTCCTGGAGTTCTGGGCCAATGCAGAAGGGAACAGCATGATATCAAGATTATAAAAGTGAATTAATTAAACCAAGAGCCTGAAGATTTCCACATAGGAAATTGAGGGAGAGGACAGTGTTTTTTAAAACTTGGCAACTTTTAAGATCTGTGGATTTTAACTTCCAGAATGCCAGCTGGGGAATTCTAAGAGCTGAAGTCCACACATCCTAAACTTGCCAAGTTTGAAAAACATTGATCTAAGCAATTGTGAGAGGTTGTGGGAGGCTGAGAATGTGCCAAAAGGGAAATTAGTAACAAGCAATTAAAAGGCAGGAGTTTATTTGATAGTTTATCTTATAAATGGCAACTTGGGAAGAAACTCAGAAAGTAATATTCAAGGAACCTATGCCTCAATAAATTCTTTATAAATTGTAAATTCTTTATAAATTCTTTTGAAGTTTCCAAGATTTGATATTCACATCAGGACTAGCATTAAAGATACATGTAATTTCTGTAGGTCTTGTTTTCTTTGATCTTACCAAGCTATCCGGTATTTGATAGTTACAATACCCTTTTTCTCTTTCTTCCTAGCTGTGGTAGGCTTTCTTCTTACCCTCTACAAAGCCCACAGGGGCTCATATAGAGGCTCCAATACTTTGAATGTTCCCTTTTCTGATATCGGAAATGGTGACAAAAAGAAAAGTGACTTATTTTTACCAAATCGTCTAGGCATTTCACAATAATCACAGAACATGTTGATAGAATAAACAAAATTTCTGAAAATAAATTTCACTTGGTTAGAAGGAGGACTTAATGTTGCCAAAGATTGGAATTATCTGGAGTAGTATTTTTCAACTTTGGCAACTTGTGTGGACTTCAACTCCCAGAATTCCCCAGCCAGCCACCTGACTGGGGAATTCTGGGAGTTGAAGTCTACATGTTCTAAAGTTATCAGGATGAGAAACACTGCTCTGGATTAAAAAAAAAAAGGAAAGAAAGCTGTCAATTATCAGAGATATAGAAAATTATGAAATGTATTGCCTGAACTCTAGGACTGAACACTTGTAAGAAACCTACCCTCCAATCCTTAAGTGATGTCATGACTTTTCCCTGAGAATCTTAGAAACTTCTGGTGGTTTGACTATGTAGGGGATGCAGTCTTTGGGCGGTGCTGTCCTCCCTGGGACCTTGGTGCTACTAATCCCACTTCCCAAGTCCTTGGGTGCCCTCTGACCATTCTTACTCCCCATGCAGAGTGGAGGAAGAATCATCCCAGAAGAATGCTGTGCTCAAGTCCTTGCGTGAACTCCAAGCACAAATATCAGAACTGCAGGAGGACCTGGAGTCAGAGAAGATGGCCCGTGCCAAAGCTGAGAAACAACGGCGTGATCTGGGAGAGGAACTGGAAGCTCTAAAGACAGAACTGGAGGACACCCTGGATTCCACGGCCGCACAGCAGGAGCTACGGTAAAAGAGGGGCAGGGCCAGAGGGGTCTACCTCACTCACAGGCAGCTGCGGCACCTGGATGCAGAAAATGGCCTCTTTCGTCACCAATAGGTCCAGAAGCAGGTGGTCTCCCCTTGCTAATCTATCTGTTCTCTTCCTCTCTCAGGTCGAAACGAGAGCTAGAGGTGACAGAGCTCAAGAAGACCATTGAGGAGGAGATCAAGGCACATGAAGCACAGGTGGTAGACATGCGCCAGCGCCACACCAGTGCCCTGGAGGAGCTGTCAGAGCAGCTGGAGCAGTCACGACGGGTAAGTGGCCCGAAGTGGAGCCTGCTAGGTGTCCGGGAATGAAGTTTGAAAGGGAGATCTGAGGACTTGATGGGCTTATGACTGTAACTTCGTTGCTTGTATCCTTTTTATTGACTGTTTCCTAGTATGATTTGATTGCTTATTGTACCCTATGACTATTATTAAGTGTTGTACCTAATGATTCTTGACTCTTGATGAAAGTATCTTTTCTTTTATGTACACTGAGAGCATTTGCACCAAGACAAATTCCTTGTGTGTCCAATCACACGTGGCCAATAAAGAATTCTATTCTATTAGCTTTGATAGTTCTGATAGTACAAACTTGTCTACTCTTTTTACTGCCTAGATGTACAGCTGTAGTAATTTTGTACAGTTAGTTCTCTACTTACGAACACAATTGAACCCAAAATTTCTGTTTCTAAGCAAGACACTTGTAAAGTGAGTTTTGCCCCATTTTATAAACTTTCCTGCCACAGTTAAATGAATTACTGCAGTTGTGAAGCTAGTAATGAACAGTTGTTAAGTAAACCGGGCCTCCCTATTGACTTCGATTGTCAGATAAGTTGTCAAGGTGATCACATGATCTACTGCCATCCTAAATGCATGCCAGGTGTCAAGCACCCAAATTTCGATCCCTTGACCATGGGGATGCTGCAATGGTTGTAGGTGTCATAAGTCACTTTTTTTCAGTGCCGTTATAACTTTGAACGGTCACTAAACGAATCGTTGTGAGTCAAGGACTACTTGTAAAGTGTGGAAATGCAGTTTGAAACTTACTCCGAATCGAGTATGTGTCGTTTAGAAAATCAGAGCCAGTATAAATTGTAGTGCCAGAGAGCAGGAGAGGAGAGGAGAGAAATGAATCACAGCTTACTTCTGTTATCTCTCTAGTTCAAAACTACCCTGGAGAAAGCAAAGCAAACCTTGGAAGGGGAAAACATAGAGATGCAGAAGGAAGTGAAGATCCTTCAAGGAGCCAGACTGGAATCTGAGCAGCGGCGCAAGAAGCTAGAGGGTCAAGTCCAGGAACTGCAACTCCGGGCAGCTGAAAATGAGAGAGTCAAATCTGAACTCACTGACAGGCTGGTAAAACTGCAGGTGCGTAAGGCCACACATGAGCGAGTCTGCCTTTTGGGGGAGAAATTATTTTATATTTTACAACAGTTCCATTTCATTTCAACCGTGCATCGATATATGGGTACATATATCTTGTGCTTACAGTTATATTCAGTACATTTCTTATTCATGTAACAAGAATCACATTTTCTTATATCTATTATTTAATATATCTATTTTTAACAATCTTAATTTATTGCTTTATATGTTCATCTAGTCCATTTTAATTTATTTTATTTTCCAATCACTGATAAAATAAATTCCATACCATATATTATTCCATTTCTTCTTTTTCTTTGATTACCAATGTTAACCTATTCATTTCTGCACATTCAAATATTTTACTCAATTACAAAAAACTGAATTTTGAATGGCTGTGTTCTGCTCCAAAGTATTTATACCCACTAAGCACTTCCTAGATGCTTGGACATTTGAATCAATCTCCAGCCTGACCATTTCAGCTGACAGTTAAAGAAACTGAATCAGGACATGGAGGGCATCAGGTTGCAGAAGGTTGCCATGGGAATCATCTTCTTAGGTTTATTTAAGGCTCTTTATATGTCCCTAAATGTTCTCATGTGCCTTGCTGATTTTCTGCCATGCAACCCACAGAATTCTATGTTTAGGTTTCATTATGCAAGAATGTTTTTCTTTGCATAATTTTGCTTAAGATGATCAAGGAAATGCTGATTAGCTGATTGATGTTTAAGGAGAGACATTTGAGGATTAGCACATGATGAATTGATGAGAACAATCGGACCAAGTAGAGAGCAAGTGAGTGGCAGACAGGGGGGGTGGGGGAAAGGGGTTCCCAGGGTGCATCCCTGACATGGCCCTGACTGAAAGCTATGAAACCATGGCCACTGTTTTCTCTGCTTTCGAGTCTTCAGCAATTGTGGTTAGTTTGATTGTTCAGCGTTTTCTGCAGTATCATGGGAACTAGAAATGTTCATGCTTCAAACCCAAGTTTCTCAAAATGTCATCTTCTCAGCCAGATACCATGTCCTTGTATGTTCGTTGAATGAATATTATATGAAGCTCTGCCTTTATCCTTAGCTTTTCATTTGTGAAAATTTGATGATGTTCTTTAATGCATTTTCATTTTTTTCCATTGGTTTTTTTTCCCCCTTATCTGCCTGGGATTTTTATCTCATGGAATCAGAATGAGCTTGATGGAGTCTCCAGTACCTTGGGAAGTGCAGAATCCAAGACAATAAAACTTGCCAAGGATCTGGCTAGCGTTGAATCCCATCTGCAGGATACTCAGGTATATAGAAAGGGCAGGAGTAAAAGAAACTCAGCAGCTGGTGGAAAACGTTTGTTTAAGAATCAGGGATGTAAACATAAACATACCCTGTTTGTTGGTGAATTTTCAAAGGGGTCCTGGAAGCTTAGAAGGAGACTGGAGGAGGAAAATATCAACGGGGACTTAAATTTATAGCAGACACCTGTTTGTGCAGTTATGAGCACATTGAAATTTACCCCATTGGCATAGCTACTCTAGGAGTTGCATTGACTGTCAGTGAGCTTCCAGATGTAACTCAAGCTGCTGCTGGTCACTTGTATGGCCATTCATGTCCCAGGACCTAGAGACATAGAAGATGTCTCTTGGGATTGAATCTGCCCACCCAGTGAGATTGGAAAGAGAGAGATTGCTGAGGGTCTCTTTTGGGGGGCAATGCTCTCTCTCTACAAGCACTTTTGGGGTGAGCCTTCCGAAGAAATCTAGTCCTTTTTTTGATTTCTGAAGGGCCATAAAAGTCTGACTGATAAGCAGATCATTTTCTGAGATTCGATCTCTTCCCTCAGGATGGTTGGGGGGCTTTTATATGTTGGAATTATTTTTATTATCTTTCTGGTGGTCTTTTAAGTCTTTTACAGCCCATGGGAATTTAGTAGCATAGAAGCCTTTGCAAATAAGGAAATAAATAAATAAATGTACTTATTAATATATTTATTTATCATAGAGAACACTCCTCATAGAGAGCAACCCTGGGCAGTGTACAGATAGACATAAAAACAAAAGCTATATATAAATGCCATAATAAAAAAAAATAAAAGCAATGTGGTCATAAATGTGATTGTAATAATAGTTCCTAATTAGTTGTAAAAGAACTATAAAGAGGTCTGGGTTGAAAGTGCAAAAAACGATTTGGATCCTGCATGCAGCCCTTGTTGGGAATCCTTAAAAGCAGCTATGTCTTTTCCTTAGATGATGCATCAGTTGTGCAAGTCCCCAGCTAGTTCAAAAAGCTCCCAAGAGATGTTGCATGTATTTTCACTCATTTTGCTTTCTAATCGAGGTTTCCATGTAGTCCTAGGTTTAATACAAATAGACTTATATACTGCTTCATAGTGCTTTTACAGCCCTCCCTAAGCAGTTTACAGGGTCAGCCTATTGCCCCAAACAATCTGGGTCCTCATTTTACCCACCTCGGATGGATAGAAGGCTGAGCCCACCTTTAACATGGAAACATTATTCAAAGCTTGCTAAAGAGAAGTTACTCTGGAATTTTGTAGATGTTCCTGAGCATGGCTACCTCAGTTTAAGTCTATAGGTTGTAAAGGGGCCATACTCTGTTCTAGAGGTTAAGGCGCTGGGCTTGAAAGCAGTAGGCCATGAATTCAAATCCCACTTTAGCCATGAAAGCCAGTTGGGTGACTTTGAACCAGTCACTCTCTCTCAGGCCAACCCAATTCGCAGGTTTGTTGTTGCAGGGAAAATAAGAGGAGGAAAGTATGTTGGATATGTTAACCACCTTGAATTATTTGTAAAATAATTTAATTATTAGGGAGGGAGGAAGGGTGGATGGATGGACGGATGGAAAAACAGGAAGAGAAGGAGATAATCTTATTCCTATGAGGAAGATCGTATATCCAAGGGGAAGAGGATGAGTCCAGTGTCTGATCCACACCTCTCCCATCTTCCATCCCAGGAATTGCTCCAAGAGGAGACGAGGCAGAAACTAAATCTGAGCTCCCGAGTCCGGCAACTGGAAGAGGAGAAAGGAGCTCTCCTGGAACAGCTGGAGGAGGAAGAAGCTGCCAAGGCCAACTTCAGTCGCCAGATCCAGAGTCTGCAGCAACAGGTGGGGTAGCATGAAAAAGGAATGGCCACAAAAGGAAACACAACCCAAGCAAAAACTTAGCAAAGGAAAAAAAAAAGTTGATTAATTTAATGAAATGATGCATTTTTGTGTCAGTTTTGTATATTTAATATGGTCAATTGACTTAATAAAGTCTTCTTCTTCTCTAAAAGCCCTTCTCCCTCCTCCAGGGGTGGGATTCTACCGGTTTGGAACAGTTTGAGTGAACCAGATGTTAAATTTACATCGGGTTCACCAAACCGGTGGTTGAACCAACCAGCTGGCCCCTCCGACCCCTCCCCTCCCAGGAGCCTCCACACCCACCCCTTTTGGAGGCAGATAAGTGCAGGGTCCGCGCCAGAAGTGGGATTCAGCCAGCTCTGACCAGTTCTGGAGAACCGGTCGCGGAAATTTTGAATAGTTCGGAGAACTGGCCAATCCCACCTCTGACTGGAGATTTTAAAGTCTCCTTCCCCTGCCACACCCACCAAGCCACGCTCACAGAACCGGTAGTAAGGAAATTTGAATCCCACCACGGGTCTGCGCGGAGGCTCTGGGAGGGCGAAAAAATAGCCAAACCGGAAGTTCTGGAAGTCCAGAAACGGGCCTGTTTCCAGCTTCGGGAGGCCCTCCAGAGCCTGGGGAAGACAAAAAATGGCCCTCCCAGAAGTTCTGGTAGGCCACGCCTACCATGGCCACGCCCACCCAGCAGCTGGGCAGCGAACTGGTTGCGGGGATTTTTGAATCCCACCCCTGCCCTCCTCTTTCTCCTTCCTCTTTTCTCCTCAATCAGGACTTCTTCTCTCCTCAGGGGTTTGATTAGGAAAATATAGTTCCAGGCCCAATCCTGCCAAACCTGCCAAGAACCTTGACAAAACACCCTGAGCCTATATTTTTAAACAGTTCTGTGAGGACGTCATAGGGAGACACACCATGAAGGCCGTGGAGGAGAGGAGTGGATTTTTATGTTCTCCAAGAAACAGCTTCTCAGCATCTTTAGTAGTAGAGATGGATAGAGTAGGTGTGATTTTTCTTGGCTTTTTTAAATCAGGTGATGGAGACCAAGAAGAAACTGGAGGAAGATGCTGGAGTAGCAGAATCAATTGAGGAAGCTCGGCGCCGGGCAACCAAGGAATTGGAGGCCCTGACCTTGCGCTACGATGAACGGGTTCAAGCCTGCGACAAGCTGGAGAAAGGGCGAACCCGCCTGCAGCAGGAGCTGGATGATGTCATTGTGGCCCTTGACCAACAGCGCCAGGTGGTCTCTGCCCTCGAGAAGAAGCAGAAGAAATTTGACCAGGTGAGGCCCTTGTGTCGTCCATCAGGTCTCTCCTGATAGCTTTGTTCCTTCGCTTTATCCATGGTATAGTTGTGTCCTACAATGTTTGGGTGTTGCCTTGAATTCTTAAATACTTCGGTCTCTCTAAAATGAAAAGTCTGTATCCCCATGAACTAAGCCATTCACTCCCGTGTAACAGATGCCCTCCGTATCCTCTCGAGAGACCTCCCTCTCCATCATTCTCAATCCCAAATTGCCTCTTCAGGCCAGGTAGCTTTGCTGCCTATCTACTTATTTGGTGAAATTGTTAAACTTCGGGCGTGGGGGGGGGGGGGGAATACCCAACCTCCCCAAATTTGATATGGGAATTTTGGATTCTTACTCACACACACCCTTCCCTGAAGTACGGGAAACCAAGAGTGGTTTACTTGAGTTTGTTTTATTTGATTTTGCCTTTTTATTTGAACAAACAGCACATTAAAAAAAATACTGAGCATAGTTACAAAGGGAAGAAAAAAAGTAACACAAAAGCAAATGTAAGAAAAACAACGATGAAAACAATTACCCAAACCATTTGTACAGGTGGTCCTCATTTAGAAATCAACTACTTAGCAACCAAAGTTACGAAGAACTCCAAAAAGTTACTTTACAACTTGCCCTCAAGGTACATCACCCCTCCCCCATGGTCATGTGATCAAATTTTGGGCATCTGCAATCCCATGACCATGTGACTGCAATTTGTGCCTTTTTTTGCCAGTTTCTGGCAGGTTTTTCTTAAACCTGAATCCAAAACAGGCAGGAGTGGGATTTAGGGGTGCTCCAAACTGCACAGAATCTTAGAGGCTCTTCTGAACCCCCGCGAAGCAGCCCATCCCTGGCTTAACAGAGGTGTCAAACTCGATCCCATTGTGGGTTGTATCAGGATTTTGTTTGCCCTTGAGGGGCCACAGTGCCCGTCGTCTGGGCATGGACAACTTGGTGGGCGTGGCCAGTGGGCCAGGGCAGCACAGACCGGTCCCTCATGCCAGATAGGCCCATGAGGCAACTCTGGGCCTGTTGTGGATCAAATCCAGCCCATGAGCCATGTGTTTGACACATTGGCACTACAAGCTTCACTTAATGACCATGTGATTCACTTAATTATCATGGTTATTTGCTTTACAACTGTCATAAAAATGGTTGTAAAACCCAGTCAGTTCAGATAGCGACTGCTTAACCAACTGCAAGTATTTTCTGCCCAGCTTAACCGTGGTCATTAAGTGAGGACTCTCTCTACCAACTTAGCTAATAACTACTTCGGTAATAGAACTAGAAAAAGTGATTCCAAATTTGAATGGAATAATTAAAGATAAAATTGATCTAGAGAAAGTTGTAATTTGGTGTTCTAAAGCTTTGCAACAGTATCAAATAGTAAAACAGCATAAATTTCTCGTGTAGCAACAGTTGAGAGATACAGTTGGTACACACATACATATCTTTAGTGAAGAATATGTACTAACTAAGTCATGTTCGGACATCTGTCAGATGTTGGCTGAGGAGAAGCTGATCTCAGCCCGCCATGCTGAGGAGAGGGACCGCGCAGAAGCTGATGCCCGTGAGAAGGAGACCAAGGTGTTGTCATTGAGCCGTGCCTTGGAAGAGGCTTTAGAAATACGGGAGGAGCTGGAGAGGCAGAACAAGCAGCTGCGAGCAGAAATGGATGACTTGGTCAGCTCCAAGGATGATGTTGGCAAAAATGTAAGTTTATTTATTTATAACCAGTTTGGTCCAGCACTGAAGTCCTGGGGTAGAAACAAGGGACTGAGGCTTCTAATTCCGCCTTAGGCATGAAAGCCAGTTGGTTGACATTGGACCAATCACCGGGAGACCGAGAGTTCTAGTCCTGCCTTAGTCATGAAACTGACTGGGTGACTTTGGGCCAGTCATTCTCTCTCAGTCAAGCTTGCCTCATAGGGTTGTTGTTGTGTGGAAGTTAGGAGGAGGAAGAAGTACGATGTAGGTTTACTGCTTGAGTTATTTATAAAAACAATAGGAAATATGGGGTGTAAATAAATAAATTTAATCTTCCTGTCTCCTGATTTCATCAGGGAAGCAGTGGCTTAGAGTTAAAACTTAGAAGCAAAATGGGATTGATGAAACGGGAAAGATGTTCTCCTTCTCTGAATCCTGTTCTGAGGGGGTAGGATAAAGCAGATAAAAATCTAGAGCTGTAATCCCGTTAAATAGGCTTGTTTTAGTTTACTTTAACACTGGTATAATTGGTTCTTCTGAGAAAGACCAGTTTCTGTGGTTGGTGGATGGGACAGGTAGATATTGTACAATAGTCATGAAAGAGAGATTCTTCCCAGTACTCTGACACTGAAGGGGAACACCCCGCCAGTCTTATGAGGTAGACCAGAGATGATTTGTCTCTTACCGAGAGATTTTTATCTTTTTAGAATTCTTGATATTTTGCTTATTCAGGAGTGTTGTGGTTTCCAGACCATCAGCCTCTGCAGCTAATGGCATTGTGATGGCACAATATTTCAACATTCTATTGGTCAACCTACCCACCCCTATCCACTTTCACGCGTTTCTGTAAGAACACATGTCGTTCTTCTGTCTCTGACCCTTCTGCTTTGGGATCAGGTGCATGAACTGGAGCGCTCCAAGCGGGCCTTGGAACAGCAAGTGCAAGAGATGCGAACACAACTGGAGGAACTGGAAGATGAGCTGCAGGCTGCAGAGGACGGGAAGCTGCGCTTGGAGGTCAATATGCAGGCCTTGAAGGCACAGCACGAGAGGGAGCTGCAGAACAGGGATGATGCCAATGATGACAAGAAGAAACTGCTCAGCAAGCAGGTAGGAAAGAGGAGGTTCTCCACACTGGCAGCTGTACGTTGTGTGGACTTCCCAGAATTCCCTGGGAATTGAAGTCCACACATCTTACAGCTGCCAATGTGGAGAAGCTGCCAATGTGGAGAAGCACTTGATGCTCATTCAAACTAAAGTGTTCCTTGACCATATTTCTGTCAATCTCAAACTTCTATCCATTCATCTGGCTTTTTACAATTTCCTAGAGAAGGTTGAAACAAACTACATCTGCTTTTCCTATATTACTTTTAAGTATTTTGACATCTTCATTGAGCAGCTAATCTGCAGGGATTTTTTTTCTTTTCCTTTTATTGAACTTATTTAGAGAACCCTTTTTCTTATTCTTGACATCCTTTGCTAACTTTAGCTCATCCTGAACTCTGTTTCATGACAGGTCTATAGTTCCAAGCTCTCTCCTCTCCTCTCTTCTCCTCTCCTCTCCTCTCCTCTCCTCTCCACTCCTCTCCCTTTTCTTATTCTTTGTATCCTTTTTTGTTTTTAGATCATCACTAAACTTTTTACGTAGAAGCCTTGGCATCTTCTGTGGTTCTCCATTTTTATCTTCCTACTTTTATTTTGATAAGATCTTCCTTTTTAGGATCTCTCACTTATCCTTTTCTCTAAAGCTTCTCCTTTCCACTTGATCCTATTTATAATTGTTCTAGGCTTATTAATCCCTGTTTTTTTTAAATGGATTAATACTTCACCACACTCATTTCTAGATCCCTTAAAATCAAAACACGATTACTTCCCAAGTTCTTACTCATATAACATCCTTTACTAAATATTCCCTATTGATTAATATCAATGTAGGCTGGTTGGTCTTCTTGTACCTTTCTTTACTTTGTGAAAAAAAAAAGTTGCCAGCAAGATAAAGGAATTTCTGGTGTTTTAGATTATTAACCTTAAAGAGCCCTTTGTTGCTCTTTAAATCATCTGTGAATTCAGTTAAGTTCATTTGACAGTATTTCTAGCCCACATCAATTCTGAAGGGTTTTGGGAAGATACAACCCATGTCTTTTCCTTAGTTGAGCAAGCAATGGTGACCCAGCTGGGTTTCCCAATTTTGTTAATTTCCAAGTCTATCGATTTCAACTCCCAAAGTTCCACAGACAGCATTGACATTCTGAGAATTTTGGGAGTTAAAGTTCATTCACCTTCAATTAGTCAGGGTTGGAAATACTGGTCAGCTTTACTATTATTTTCATTCCATGTATCTTAATACATGGATCTTTTTTTTCAACAAGATTCTCAAATTCATTCATTTGGAATTCTCAGCAGGAATGGATATTTTTAACCTACAGTGCTATTCCTTCCTTTTTTGTGTGTGTTTCTATTCTGTTTGTAGAAATCTTATCCTTCAGTTTCTGTTTTGCACTTTGGACAGCCATGATTTTGTCCTGCCACCCATTCACCTCCTTGATTGGACAGTTTCTGAGAGATATAAACCCTTCTGCAAAAGACAGAAAGCAGCATTCTTAGTTTATAATGCCCCTTTTAGGATTGCTTCCACTGCAGTCCTAAAAAGTGATCTTGCTGCTCTACCAAAGTGTGTCTTGTTCCTTCCGAGAAGACCTCTGCATCTTTTATTCCACTTCTAAGATGCAGAAGGATAGTTGAAGTTTCAGAGCACGACATAACCTTCAGTGCAGATCAAAGTGGCAGCTTTCTGCTGATACTTCCTCCCTTGCAGGTGCGAGAGTTGGAGGCGGAACTGGACGCTGAGAGGAAGCAAAGGGCCCAAGCGCTTGCTGCCCGGAAGAAGTTGGAGATGGATCTTCAGGAAGCCCAGACACAATTGGATGCCACCACCAAAGGAAGGGACGAAGCTTTGAAACAGCTACGCAAGTTGCAGGTATCTTTCATTGTCGATGTAGGCAACCAGGGAGAGAGATCCTAAGGTTTTTTTTTTAAGGGCTATTGCATATTCAGTTTTCATTGTATAAGAAGTTGTGTTTCTGTTCCAAAGAACTTCCAAGTAAATGTTGGCATAGGGGATCTTTAAATAAGTAAAAAGGGGAATGTGGTGGAATGTAATCTGGATTCCCAAGAGGGAGGGGCCTCATTCCAGAGGACCAAGAGGCAGCGAAATTTAGATAGTTTGACTGGAAGAAAAAGGGTTAAGGCAGCTCCTCCCTAGAAGTTCTCAGTAATGATGCAAGGAGTTGCTTTGCTCTGGCGAGGTTTCAGTCTACAAGTGAGGAACAATAAAAGAAACCGCTTAGAAATCACTCTGCATGTCTTTCTTGGTTTTGGGAGCTTGACAGAGAAGAACATACAGGTAGTCCTCATTTAGCGACCATAATTCAGATTGGTTACTGGTCACTAAGCAAAGCATTTGCTAAATGAAACTGTGACTATGCTTATGATCTTAATTCAGCTTTGCTTTTTAGACCAGTGAAGGTTGTAAATGAGAGGATTGGTCATTGAATTACTTTTTCATTACTGCTGTTAACTGTGCTATCTGTACTACTATACGTACGTACATACATACACACATGCATACATACATAAGCTTAGATTCAACAGGTTGTCCATCAATGTTGCACCTAGCCTTTGCCATAAGATGCAGCCCCCCAAAACTGATAACCTCGTGCTGCTTTCATTTTTCTCTTTAATTACAGGCCCAGATGAAGGAACTCTGGCGAGAGGTTGAGGAAGCCCGGGCAGCTCGTGAGGAGATTTTTATTCAGTCTCGTGAGAGTGAAAAGAAGCTGAAAAATCTGGAGGCAGAGCTGCTGCAGCTTCAGGAGGTGAGCAGGAAGTTCTGTAGTGTGTGATGTTGAACAGGAATATGAGTCCAGGAGAGGTGTCAACTTTAACTTCCAGAGAGTCCCAGAGTAGATATGCACAACATATATACTAATTCAGTCTGAGCCTCCAAAATACATTATTTAACAAAATAGGACCTCTTAGCTGCTGATAAGTGTAAGACGGGAATCTCTGCTTTGTTGGCAGAAGGTTCTGAATAGGAGGCAGTGAGAAGTATCCTGATTGATCCAGAATTCTTCCAAGAAGCTATGTCTCATTTCCATCCAGGTCACTCCATATGTTGCTACGTGTTTTCCATTACTTGTAGGAACTGGCAGCGTCAGAGCGAGCTAAGAGGCAGGCACAACAGGAGCGTGATGACCTGGCAGATGAGCTGGCCAATGGAAACAGTGGCAAGTGAGTGCAAGGGAACCTTAACCCCACCTTCTGAGCTCCATTTTCACCCTTTTGTGTGGAATGGGTTGCTCATAATTAATCTGACCCTGGATTGATTAACAGCCTCTATTCTACAAGTAGTACTTAACTTCTGACTACAATTGAGGCTGGAATTGGGGTCGTTGAGCAAAGCAGTGGTTAAGCAGCAGGTACAAAGAAGCAGGCAGACGAGGATTTTAGTGTGCTTTATTTAGCATGCAGGCAAGGAACATGTTAAAATCCTTTTTACTGTAGTTTTCAACCTTCCTTTCCCCCTTCCCCACTGACTTTTTGGGAAACCTGGCAGAGAAGATTGCAGTGGTGATCACATGATTGCAGAGCATAAAGCATCCTTTCCAAGGTCATTGTTAATTTAAACAGTCATTAATTTGAACAGTCCTTATGTGAGAACGATCTACAGTGATTAATTCTACAACTGCCATAACATGTTACTTATTTTTAGAATTCATAGATGACTAGTGACAGTCTTTCACCCTGTTGTGTTCTCATCCATTTTGTGGCTGCTATTAAAAATGGCAACATGCAGTTGTCAGTAACAGGCTCAGTCTGTATTGGCTAGGCTAGCCAGATGTTCAGCAAGGAAAATATGCTGGCAGAACCACAATTAGGGGCTTGTTGAAATGCTGCCATACCGCACACAGGAGGCAATTGGAGGATAAAGCCAATAAAAGAGATCTTTGCTAAATGTGGTCATTGAAATGAATATGCCAGGAGGGTTTTAGTCATTAGATGGCCATTTTGTCTGACACAGAACCATGGTATAGCAACGTCTCTTTTAAGGTTGTGTCCATTGGATTGCAGACAAGCAATGACTCAGTGGAGCTAAAAACTAACAGTGTAAATTGTAGAAGCAGCCTCAACGCTCTTCTTGAGGATCCCCTCTTGGTTTCCTGCCAGGCACAAAGCTCTAATTCACCACTATTATTTTAATCTCCATTTCAGGTCCGCTCTTCTAGATGAAAAACGCCACTTGGAGGCAAGAATTGCACAGCTGGAAGAGGAACTGGATGAAGAGCAAAGCAACATGGAACTCATGAATGACCGCTACCGTAAGCTCAGCATGCAGGTAAGGTGGCTGCTTCTAAGTGGGTGGAATCTGAACTGCCAATGCTGAAACCTCCTCCTCCTGATTTCTCTCTCATTCTGTCCTCTATGCAGGTGGAAACCATCACCACTGAATTGGCAGGGGAGCGCAGCTTTTCTCAGAAGACTGAAAATGCCCGGCAACAGCTGGAGCGCCAGAACAAAGACTTGAGGGCCAAGTTAGGCGAGATGGACTCATCTGTGAAGTCCAAGTACAAGTTGGCCATTGCAACTCTGGAGTCCAAGGTGGCCCAGCTAGAAGAACAGCTGGAACAGGAGTCCAGGTGAGGCAATGACAGCAACATTGCCAGGAACTGAATTCTGGGCTCTGAAGGCGGCTTGCAGAATGATTAGAAAGCCATGAGAATAAGATCCTACATCGGTCCTTTGGAGGGCCAAGTGTCACACTGAGTATTGTTGGGGTGGTGGTGGAATCCAGGGTCTGTTGATTCAGAGTAGGTGGGCCATGTCTTGTAAATGACCAGGACTGCAGTTTTCTTTTCCTTCCTTACTTTGTGGGAGGGAGTGTTAATTTTTAAAAGTATTTAAAAAGGCTTACACTATCAGTTTCATACTTTCTGGCTCATGATAGCGACCAAAAAGGTCTTAGAAAGGAAAACAGACACCACATGTTACCTACCCATGTTCTATGTTTTCATTGTATGATAAAGGATAACACATGTGGTGTGTATTTGATCCTCTTCCTATATTATAGGGGCAGTGTTGTCCAACCTTGGCTACTTTAAGACCTGTGAACTTCAACTCCCATAATTCCCCAGGCTACCATCAAGTTCACAGGTCTTAAGTTGGAGAAGTTGGAGAACTATAGAAATATACTCATGAGTGGTGGCTGGAAGGACAAGGAGGATTCATTGGTTGTATTCATATTGCTGAAATAAGCCCATTTAATTCATTGGAACAGTAAACTACTTGTGACTCTCATAAACCCACGTGATTTCAATGGCTCTGCTCTAGATATTGAATGTGTTAGGCATCCAGAATTGTCCATGGTAATCAATCACTCCAGACAAGTATAATCTCCAACTGATTTAGAAGGAACAGCTCTGGTACTTCTGTGCAATTTCCAAATCTAAAGTCATTTTCATCGCATTTCACAAAATCCACCTTCTCTCCTCCTTCTTACACTTCATTAATCTTCATTAATTAACTCCATCTGGAATTTTAACCTTGAGCTTTCCAACTCCTCCACCCCCCTTTGCATTCCTTATAACAACCTTGGCGGCTGAATCTCAAAGCCGACGGAAAGATTCGGTATATGGGTTCATCCATTCCTTCTTAAATTTATTTCTCCTTTCTTAGAGAGAGGATGCTGTCAGGAAAACTTGTGAGGAGGGCAGAGAAGAAACTCAAGGAAGTGCTTCTGCAGGTTGATGAAGAGAGGAGAAATGCTGACCAGTATAAAGATCAGGTATGTTGTAGATGTGCTAACCCAATGTTTTTCAAACTTGACCACTTTAATATGTGTGCACCAACTCCCAGAATTACATCTTAAAAGTGGTCAGGTTTGAAAAACTCTGGGCTAACCTATTCTTATTTTTTCATCCTGGACAATGGGATCAGGGTTCAGCTATTGGAAAGGATGAAAGAGTAAAAAGGGTAAACTTATTTTTGAAAAGTGCCATGCAAATATCTGTTTTCTTATATCCCGCCCCCCCCCATGATGCCTTTATCTTGAATCCTTTAAGCATTAAAAATAAAATAACCGCGCTATGCCATAAAGAAAGCTAAGACTGTATATGTAGAGATAAGTCTTCCTAAGAAGTATTTAAAGCAATTACTAGATGTTTCTGGGGAATCTTTTTTTCATTTTTAAAACTTTCAGTACAAAAATGGTGAGGCCCCTTAGTGTTGAATTTGCAGGGAATTATGTTGTAAGTTTCTTCATCTCAGGAGCAGAGATTTAGGCTTCCCTTCTGTGGCTGTTTTTGGGCAGGTTGAAAAGGGCCACCTGCGCCTGAAACAGCTGAAGCGTCAGCTGGAGGAGGCGGAAGAAGAGGTCTCGCGGGCCAACACCAGCCGCCGCCGCATGCAGCGTGAACTTGAGGATGTCACCGAATCAGCAGAATCCATGAATCGCGAAGTCACCAGCCTGCGCAATCGCCTCAGGTGAGTAGGGTCGTGTGGTCGGGCCTCGGCAGCACAGATAGTTCTCGCTTAACAATGGCAAATCAGACTGGAATATATCGTTAACATGTCCCATGTCCATGGCACTTCACAATGGGAGTTCTGGCACTTCTGGTTGCCGTTACTCTGCAACTCATGGCAGACCATTAAGCAAGGATGTCATGTGGTTACCATTAGCAACCTCCTGCCTGCTTCCTCATTGGTGGGCTTGTAGGAAACCAGCAAAGATGGCTCTGAGTGGCAGTCATATGACTGCAGGGACACTGCAGCAGACCTAAGTGCTTGAACTGGTGTAACTTCCATTCATTCAGCACTGCTGTAAGTTTGACTGGTCGCTGAAATAAGTGGTCGTTAAACAGGAACCACATTTAATGGGGTTAAAAAGCAGTATGCTTCTCTATAATGTTTTCAGCCCAAACCAATCTAGGAAACATTGTCCTGCTAATTTCTCTCCGCGTGTCTTTTTATCCCAACGTTCTTGTGGACGCTGTGTATTTTTCTCCCTGTCCTTCCTCTTTTTGTGGTGTTCATTATTTCTGCCATCCCTAGTCTATTTGTAAATACGCTACAGCAAGGATAGACAACTTGGTTCTGCCAGATGTTTTGGATTGCAAGTTCCCCTACCCTTATGCAAATCCAAACCATCTGGAGGGTACCTACATCTGGACTATAGAATATTAATTCAGTGCCAGAAGGACAGAGAGAGAGAGAGAGAGAGAATGGCTAGGAAATCCTGGAAGATGTAAGTTCACATCTAGAAGTTGCCCACACGGGTTCACCACATGGCTTCAGAACATTTGGTTAAAAATAAGAAGCTGCAGCCAGATGCAGTGTGGCCTTTTAATAGGAGACAAAAGTGAGAGCGGAACAGTTTGAGAGCAGCAGTGCCACCAGAGAATCGAACTGTTCGGTGTAGTATTTTCTGTTTCTGTGTCTACAACAGGAGTGAATTATTTTTTACAGGTAGTCCTCAACCTATGACCACAATTGAGCCCAACATTTATGTTGCTAAGTGAGACATTTTTTAAGTGAGTTTTGCCCCATTTTCTCACTACATTTGTTAAGTAAATCACTGCAGTTGATAATTGAGTAACCCAGTTGTTAAGTGAAACTGGTTTCCCCATTGACGTGGTTTGTTGGAAGGTCGCAAAAGGGGATAACATGACCCCGGGGCTCTGCAATTGCCATAAATGTGATTCAGTTGTCAACCATCCAAATGTAAATCACATGACCATGGGGAGGCTGCAGCGATCATATTGTGAAAAATGGTCATGTCACTTTTTTTCAGCGTCATTGTAACTTTGGTCACTAAGTGAACTGTTATAAGTCGAGGACTTCCTGTATTATATTTTTCTTAGTGTGTCTATCTGGAAGAATTCCATGAACCATGTGGGATGTGTAGAACATTCGTAATAGCTTTCTTCAACCTATTTCTCTCCAGAAATGTTGGAGCTTAGTTCCCATAAATTTTTCCAGTATAGAATTTTAGCTTTCTCGAAGAATTCTACTGAGAATGTAAGATCTAAAACAGTGGTGGGAAACTATGGCAACCTTTATGACCTGTGGACTTCAACTCCCATAATTTCTGAGCCAACCATGTTGTCCATAGATTGTAAAGTTGTCATAGTTGCATAGTTGATCTAAAAGGTTTTCTCTTTTATCTATAGAAGGGACAACAACAGTCATATGCTTATTGTTAGGGAGCCTGAAATATATTTTGATGTGACAGTAGCTTTATACGGGTCAGTGGTATTCTGCTATTTTTCCAAGAAGTCTGTGAGGTGGGCCATAGTGACTAGATTAAGGTCAGTCACTCAGATTTATCCTCAAGGGTGCTTGATTTGAATTTAGACCTGTCTAAGTCAAATTCAGCACTCTGTACTGGCAACCTAATTCTGTAGAGGTGAAGCAACTACGGGTAGTTCTCACCTTATGACTGACCACTTAGCAACTGTTTAATGTTACAATGCCTACCTTGGGGCTACTTATGATTCTTCTGTCCAAAAACCTGAACTACCGACCTCACACACCCCTCTTGTTTCCTTTTCGATTCTTCTGCTCTTCTTTCAAAGTGGAGTTCTTTCCAGATCATGTGTGTTCATGTTTGCATCTTTCCTTTTTTTTTCCTTTCTTCCATTTCACCCTTTTCTCGACTCAACAGCAAGTTAGAGCGACGTCAACGGAAGTATGTTCTCACTCTCCCCGCTCACCCTCCCCACGTTCTGCATGTGTGTGTTGTGTAGTTTTGAGGTGGGATTGTATATGCGTGGGTGTGCACTTGCAACACAAAAACTCTCTGCTTCCCTGTTCGCAGTTAAAGTTAAAACAGACTTGATAGCAGAGACCCATGATTTCCTGGCTTCCTGTTCTTATTTTTTAGCACAAAATGTGGCCGTGGGACACTCCCAATTTATGACTGGAGGAAGGGGTGCTTAATTCTTTCTCTCATTTAAGAAAATGTCTCATGTAAGACGAGTTATTTGTCTAATCCAGTTTTCTCAGGCTGTGAATGTAGAATCTGAGGAGATAAAAGATCCTTTTTTAATTGTAGAAGAATTGATTTGGGACTTTCTGTACTATACCACTGAGTTGCGGTCCATAATGTTTACATGCACATGTACACACAACACATGCATTCAGATTCACAAACATTATTAAACTGCAACTCTGGGAGATCAAGTGATATCCACATGATACTCCCAATATTTTCCAACCCTCTGCTTATCTGCTTTCTGGCCCATTCTTTAAGGAAATGGGAAAGGCATGCATAGATCTTTTATTTGTCTCACACTGCTTTAGCTTCACCACAATCTAGGAAGAGGGCTGAATGGTTAGTCTTCATGGCTGAGTTGTGATTTGAACCCATGCCTTTAGGGTTCTTTTCTGAGAAGCTGTAACTACACTCCCCCTTGTTTTTCCAATGCTAAAACAGCTGGGAAACAAGAACTGGCCAGTGGCACAAGGTTTAAGATTTAATCACTTCCTCCTCCAGTCCCGCTGTACAGATCAATTCGATTTGCGGGCTCTTTCATTGCTTTCCCCTGTGTTTTTTGCCAGGCCCAATATATCTGCTTTGGCCCTCAGCGAAAACAGCTGGAATGCTTGCTTGATGCATCTAGCAACTTTGAATCTCAGGCCAAAGAATGCTTAAACTGTAGCAGGAGGAGGCAGGGAGAGCTTGGTATCCGTGCGAGCTTCTAGCTGTGTCTAGCTATCCCAGCAAAAGTGGGGTGAGATACAAAAACGCTGAGTAGGCTTGTGCTAGCTCTTCTTTGTGGTTTCTCCCTAATAGCAAGAATCCTTGTGATTGTGGTAAGTGCTGCTTTCCTTTGAACAGCTTCTGTGGATTTCAGACCCAGCCAAGGGTATTAATGGATAGAAGATATTCTGCAATCAAGGACATTTTTCTCCTTTCCCAGGGAACAATGCTTCTCCTTTGGCTTTGCTGCTATCTATCAATAGCCATATCCTCAGACAAAGGAGTAAGAACAGAAAACATTGGCAATTTGAGAGTTGGGGATTAAAACACGGGAAAGAGTAAGACTGTGGGTGATGTCCTTGGCAGCACAGAGTTGGCAACTCTCTTGCTAATAACTTTAAAGAATACCTTTAAACTTGTATGCATTGCTTGAAAACTACTTTGGTGAAGCTTTTTACATATCAATGTGTGTACATACCAGTAACATATACTTCAAAAGCATTTTTTTTTGCATATTAGCATTAGTCTAAAATGCATATCGGTAGTATAAAAACCAAAACCCCAAGCCTTATTTATATTGGCTTATTTCCAAATAAACCAAGTGCAGGTTTCAGTCTCTAAGTTGAGATATTGTAATTCACTGAAAAGGGCTTTATATTGAGGTGCAAAGTTGCTATTCTCCCCCACCTTCCAGTTTTAAAAATGCACAGAACACATCCTCTCTTATATTTTTATATATTGTAGGGTCCTTGGTGCTCTCTGGGCTTGGCTGTTTTCTTGCAGACATTTCATTACCAAACTAGGTAACATCATCAATATTTGGGATTTGTTCTCATGTTATATTTATTTTATTTATTTTATTTGCCAAGCAGGTATTAGATAACAGGCATAAGTACAAACTTGATTGTGAATACATTAAATGGATATGAATAAAAAGGAACATAGCTTGCCCTGTCAATGTTGATGGGAATGGTCTTGGTGGTACCCCAATCAAGGAACAGCTAAGCAAGCTAATAGTAAACAACATCCCAATAAGGGAATTATCAAAACCACTCACACCAACACTGACAGAGCAAGTCACTAGTTTATAAAATGAGAACAAACTCCTCTGCCTACTAGTACGGATGATATTACTTAATTTGGTAATGAAATGTCTGCAACAAAACAACCAAGGATTCCACATCTCTTTGGTGTTTGCCCTGCTTTGCTTGGCATTAACAGCCCGATCGGCTGCGGCTTTAAACTGGACAATTGGAGCTGCATTAAGAATTTGCATAGATTTGGACAAACCCTTGTAGGCCAAATGCTTTTAGCTTCTTCGAACTTGGCAAAAGAAAACAAAATAGACAGCCCCCCCAAAATATTGTGTGTTCACTTACTTCTCCTTGTGTTACACATGGGGCAAATCCAACTTATAAACAGGATGTTGTTAGCTCAGGTGATGTGTGTTTGCTGTGATGTCATGGCAATCTCTCTCTCTCTCTCTCTCTCTCCTCTGCTGTCCATTCGCAGGCGCACACCTCTCAGCTTCACCAGCCGCACTGTCCGGCAGGTCTTCCGTCTTGACGGCGTCTCAGATGAGGAGACTGAGGACCCCGAGAGCGACTCCCCATCTACAAACCACCAGCCTTCCCAGCCCCTGGGGCCCTCCCAGGGCCAGTCACCAGTACCTGCTGCCGAAGAGCCTCCCCAGACTCAATAAATGGGAAGAGTCAGACTCCAGTTGGACGGGGTGGGATACGAGAGGGACCCTACCCTTGCACAATGTCTGACACCTCTAAAGAAAAGAATACACTCCTCTTCTCTCCCTCCCTCCCTCTCTCCCTTCTTCCCACTTGCAATCTTGGATCTCCCAGCAATTTCTTTGTATCCAGCTGCACTTTAATATCAGTCACCCCTGAGGGGTGGAAAATGAGGAGGGGAAGAGAAGGAAAATGGGAGGTGGGGGCGGGGGCGTTGTTTCTGGATTTTCACTCTGTCATCCTTAATGAAACCTTCCTCCCCGCGCCCCCCGCCCCCGCAACTCAAGTAGCCCTTGTTTTCTCTTGCACCTTTTATTCCCCGATCATTTTCTTCTTCTTTTTCCAACTCTAGTCTGAACGTGCAAAAGATTCCCAGCCCGTGGTTAGAGAAGAAACAGGGCAGCCAAGTGGTTCACGGACACAACGTAGGATGGAAAAAGAACGGCCCTCTGCCACCATCCTGCGGCTTCTTAGTGAAGTTGCTGGTACTGAGATGCCTTCAGCTTTTCCACAGAGAAACACCCCCCGCCCCCCGGTCCCTCCATGCACCACTGAGAAGCAGCTATGCTTGGGGTGCCTTCTGCTCCCCTGGTCCCCGCAACTTCCTTGCTTCATCTCAATCCTAGTTTTAGGCTCCTTGCTCCTAGGGACAGGGCGTGCTGCAGAGCCTTCTCAGGTTCCTCCACATTCGATCATCTCTGCTTCTTCCAGCAGACTTGGCTCGCTGGAGTTAAGTTTGACTCTCCATTTGCTGCTAGAACCTGCCCAGGCCTGGGCTAACGGGAGTAAATGAACTGAAAACCATTCATCTCAGCTTGCCTTCTCTGTTCTGAAGGGGGACTTGGATGCCATCCTCTCTGCATATCATGGCCAGCAGCCAAAGAGCACTTTGATCTGTCACCTCCTCAATCCCTTACTCATAATATTGCTGAAACTGCTATGGTGGTGATGGGTGATTTTTAAAAATAAAAGAAAGAACTATGACAATAAAGTTAGGATTTGCAAACCTCGTAGGAAAAACAACCAGGATAACCTCAAAATTATATCCTAGCCTACCCTTCCTCAATTGGAAGACTGCCCACTGTTGGGATGACATTGCATTTTGGGGAAGCGGGGGTGGGAATCAGTTTGGAGAAGGCTCTTATTTACTTATTTCACCTTGTTTAATTGCATGTGAGTAGACTTTAGATAGTCCCTGACTTACAATCATTTGTTTAGTGACAGTTAGAAGTTACAATGGCATTGAAAAAAGTGACTTACAACCGGTCCTCGCACTTACAATTTCTGCAGCTTCCCCATAGTCATATGATCAAAGTTCAGGTCCTTGGCCACCACTGGCTTCTATTTACAAAGGTTTGCAGCATCCCAGGATGATGTTATTGCTATTTGCGACCTTTCCAGCTGGCTTCTGACAAACAAATGTCAATGAGAGAAGCCAGATTCACTTAAAGACCGCATTTCCCTTAACTGCAGTGATTTGCTTAACAATGGAGGCAAAAAAAAGAGAGCTACTCTCTTTAACAACCTTTTTGTTTAGCAGTGGAAATTCTGGTCCCAATTTTGATCACAATTCAAGGACTACTAATATACAACAAATGTTGTATCTGGGTTCTGAACATAAGCATTTGGTAAAACCTACAGCAACATCAAAATGACACACACAACATCACTTGCCCTTCTCTGTGGACATCCAGGGTTCTCGTGGATTAAGTGTCCTTGCATTAATTGCTTTCCCATTAGAAAGAGAGAACAAAAAGAAGCCATGTTGTGTCTCCACTTCTTTCTTCAGATCTCCATAGGCTGCTACTTCCATCCCTTGTAAGCTACTTGTCACAATCATTTACTTTCACACCTGAGAGGCTATTTTTGCTACCTACATAACTCCTTACCAAAATAAAGTTCAAATTCTCTATCACCGCCACCCCCAAATTCAAACATCAGGCTTCGCAGTAAAACAGTTGGAGTTAAATATTGTATAATTATAATCCAACAGGATGTTCTTGCATTATAGAATCGAGATCGTACCCGATTTGCCAAAAATAAATTATATGCTCCCTGCTTGCAACACTGTAAAGCCTGATCAATATTTGCATTCTCTTAGGAATAACAAGTGCCTCACTATGGAGATCTAGTGCTGTTTTGCACCTTCAGTTGTCTCCAATACATAGATAACCAGCATGTGGGGAAAATATTATGTGTGAAAATGCATGATTAATGTCTCTTGCAATCCATCTTTGGAAGCAACTGCTGCTTCCCTCTAGGAAAATAGTATCCATTGTATGGAGCGGCCCTTGTCATAAGATGTGGAAGGAAAGCACATTGAGAGCCCTCTGGTTTTGCTCCACTGCGGCTTCTGATTTTAATTCCTTAGTAGTGGTGCACATTCCATGCCACATTCATTGCACATCCCTTTATTTGTTAGGATAAAACCATAGCTTACAAGTACTTGGGTAGGCCCCAAGTTTGAGACTTTGCAATCCAATCCTATGCATGCTTATTCAGAAGCTGAAATCCCTGCATTAGAAGGGGCTTACTCCAAGGTGAGTATATAAAATACCAGTTGTGAACCTAATAACAATACCTAGCACTTACATAGCACTTTAATGTGTTTGAAGGATTTCACTTGGTATAAAGGTTGAACTTAGTCTATGATGTGCACCTTTTATAAAGTAGCAGCAAATGGGTAGCAAAGGAAAAAATAAACACAAATCTAGCTAATTCTGCACTTAAGAGTTCACTACTAAGGGTTTGCAAATCTTAGCTTGGACTCATAGTAACTCATCCAGAGGTTTGTGCTTCTCTGGAATGAGGATTTGATCTGGAGGTGGGCCTGCCTCTCTCTGCCTCTCTCTCTCTCTCAGCATGGTAGTTTCTTGTCTTAATTTGTTTTAATTCTGTCTTATTATTCTATTTTATTTTCTAACAAAAGTCCCCTCCCCTTCCTGAACAAAGTTGTTTTACTTCAAACCCAGTGGGTTTGCATTTTTTAAAAATATTTTTGTTTCCCCCCCACTTTTTTTTTCTTTGCTGTTTGAATCTGTTTGGAATTTTCTTATCCTAATGTTAAGGGCCATAGCAAATACCCTGCTCTTTTTTGTTTTGTTTTGTTAAAAAAGAAAAAAAAGTACTTTCTAAGAAAAAGTATGACTTCTATTAAAAATTCATCTCAGATAATTGGGCGTTCTGCATGTATTTTTATTTGGCTTCTGGTTTCATTTGCAAGGTTGCTGTAATGTTTGGTTTATTGGGAAAGATCATAGTGATGGAATTTCAGGATGGAGATTTCTGTTGAAAAATCTGCTTAGTTGTTCCTCTATTTAGCCATTGAGCATAATGCAATATTGGAATTTTAAATTCCAGAACTGCTGCATGGGGAATTCTGGGAGTTGAAGTCAACTCACCTTAAAGTTGCCCAGATTGAGAGACACTGCTAAGAGGAACCAATAATTGAACATAAAGAGTCTGCTTTTTGATAAATATATCATCTTCACAAAGGGTTCTGATCTTTGCTTTATGGAAACTGCCAGAACAGAATTGGGGCCAGCTTCCAAGATTCTACTAAACAAAACGAACCCCAATATTGTCCAGGAATTCAATGCCAGCAAATCTTGGGGACCCAGACTATTAAGAGGTTGCACCAAGGCTTTTCCTTCGCCAAGAAACAACTCGTATTATAATCCATGAAGGGCAGCATAAAAGTACACATGTTGCAGCTATCAAAGATTCTCTGAGAGTTATTTCCCATTTATAATAGTTTTATTATCAAGGCTGCACCACTCCATAGAAACTTTTTAATATGACAGAATGGGGAAATATCAAATATGCAGGTAGCAATCATTGCAACCATAATCAAATGCTAATTAAATCAAATGTTGTTTTTATTGTACATTGTGATTGTCCTATTTTGGACAATGCAGGCTCTGGCATGTTTTTGTGGCTCTCATCTAATTATTATTATCCAGTTACAGGTAGTTACAACAGCACTGAAAAAGATGACTTATGACCATTTTTCACACAACTGTTGCGACATCCCCGTGGTCTGGTGATCCAAATTCAGATGCTTGGCAACTGACTCATATTTATGACAGTTGCAGTGCAATGTCCCAGGGTCATGTGATCCCCTTTTGCAAGCTCCTGACAAGCTAAAACAATGGGGAAGCAATAGCACTTAGACTTATATACCGCTTCATAGTGCTTTACAGCCTCTCTAGATAGTTTACAGAGTCAGCACATTGCCCCCAACAATCCGGGTCTTCATTTTACCGACCTCAGAAGGATAGAAGTTTGAGTCAATCTTGAGCTGGTCAGAATCAAACTACTGGAAGTGAACAGTGAGTTAGTCTGCAATACTGCATTCTAACTACTACACCACCATGACTTAGGTTCGCTTAACTGCAGTGATTCACTTAAAAAATGTGGCAAGAAAGGTCATAAAATGGGGCAAAACTCACTTAAGTGTCTCGCATAGCAACAGAAATGTTGAGGTCAATTGTGATCGTAAGTTGAGGACTACCTCTATTATTCACTATGGTTGTTCTTTTCTCCAATATTGGAATTGCTGTTTTTGGAATTTGGCATACTATGCACAGACTAGCCACTCACAAATGCCAAGCCTTGCTAGCTTAGATAAAAAGGATTAAATATGTATTTATTAATTAGATACACAACCTGACTTTTGTTCAAATGCTCAAAAAGATGATGTAGAAGATGAAGGCAGTAAAACCTTCCCTCAATGCTATCCCGAGAAGCTATATTAGTGGCCTTCCCATTCTGGAAAAGGCAAAAATAGATTGGTATCAAAGGGCCTGTGGCGAAACTATATTTAGCATCATTGCACTGATTACTTAGAATATAATATATGTTAGTAAAGATCTTACTAATTCACATTCATATGATTATTGCATTTTCACAAAAGGTTGCATGATTTTTAGCAAAGTTATTCCTTGGGGCCTCCACACCATTTCTGAAATTGCTCAGAGGACAGTAGATACTTAAAAGACATTTGACTAAGGTTACAAAGTCAACATAAGAATCTTAATCTACCAGCCTATGAGATTCATTCTGAAGTGGTGTGTTAATCCACATTCTTACTCTTTGAAAACTCTTTGATTTATTATAAGAAGGCTTTGCACTATTGTTTGGCTAGAGATGGCCAAGAAAAAAGCTCAGCTAAATCAAACAGAAACACACAATCTGCACTGAAAGGTATAACCTCAGTTTAGATACAGCAGAATACCTTAGAACAATTAATGTATACATAGAAAAGTATAGTAAATCAATGAGTAACAAAGTTATTCAATGCAGACATACCAAAAAGATCCCTCCAGCATTCTATTCTTAGATTTAAAAAAACTTTCATGTCATTAGAAAAGCTCTTGAATAAACATTCCAGTTATGGAATAAAAGGATGTCCTTTTCTGGCATGGAACCAGCAAATAGTAAAACTAAACGGACAGTTTTCTCAGTGGAAGGCCTAATGCTTTTTTATTGAGATATAAATTATGTTGACAAGGGTAAGCAGTGAACTGGCCAAATTTGTGAATGATACTAAATTATTCAGGATGGTAAAAACTAAAATTGATTGTGAAGAGCTCCAAAGAGATGTTTTAAACTGGAACAATGATCAAAGGGCAAAGTATTTTAAGGAATGGTAATAATGAAGCATTTTTGGAGCAACCTCTTCTATCAGCATATCACAATGATGGGGACGATCTGCAACCACTGAGGAAAAGTTGCTGGAATCATAATAAATAACTGAACGAAGATGTTAGCTCAGCTATGGAACGAATGCACATTCCATGCTTGAAATCACTAGGAAAGAGATGGCAAAAATTATAATGCCCTTATTACAAATCAATTATATGTTCATATTTGGATCTCAACATTGTGAGGTAGTCTACATTACAGAAAATTACAACTTATTACATTGTATCTCACAACAGCAGAAAACAGATCTACAGTAGGAAAAAAATGGAAAAGAGTAGAACTATCTTTTCCAGAAGGTTTGAACATCTGGAAAGAGGATAATCAGCAGCAAAGTGAATGGACTTAATTACAGTGGTAGTAAGTGCACCATTGGAAAACAAGGTTGGGGATAGATCATCTTGAAGAAAAAATAACTAAGTCTCTAAGAATGAATACTGACTTGATGGCACATCATCATCATCAGAACAACTGGGTCTCAATCCTTAGATTAGAAGAAGGCAACTGAAGGACACAAAGTATACAAAATCATGTATGGTATCAGGATTCCAGCAATAAAACCAGGGGTGGGAAGCTACTGGTTCTGCCTGGCTCTATAGAACTGGTAGCTCTGAAGAGCATCAGACACAGAACCAGTTCTGTGTCTGCTGTTGTTTGGCTCATCTGCCCGCCCAGGCTCTTACCTGACCATTATTTCCTGCTTTTTCAACCTCAGCTGCTTTGCACAGCACAACATAATCACCGAACCAGTAGTAACACAGGTTGAATCCCATCCCTGAATAAAACATTCCTATGATTGCTTTAGTAGTTGCCCTCTGGTGCAGATAAAGTGGCCAGAGGAAATTTTTAACTCAATGAATCTGGGAAATTTAGAATATATGAAAGGAACTGCTTCACACAACACATAATCAATGTCTATGTCAACTGGGGTGGCTCATAAAGGAGAATTATGTGGCTACAAATGCCACCTGTAGAAGAGCTTGAGAGGGATGCTTGAACGAGGCCCTGGTTGTCCTTTGTAAGAAACAAAAAGCTGGACTAAAATGGCCCTTACCCTGATGCAGAAAGGCTGTGCTAATATTCTTAAGAACTCCTATTATTTCTAGTCACTATGATTTTTTTTTTGTCATTTAGACTTGACTCATGTATTATTGCTATGTTTATAAATATTTAGTCTCTTTTCATTTCAATGAGTGAGCTCTCTTATAAAGTCATGGACAAATAAGTAGTAACCGGTAATCAGCTTCATTGGAGGGTAACTTGAGATATTTTGAACTAAATTTCTTTATTTATATCCCAGGTTTAGGACATTAGGAAGCTATTTATATCCCAGATTTAGGACATTAGGAAGCCATACAAATCTCCCACAAGCTCAACCTAAGAATTCTGGAGGGACTGTTGAAGTGTACCTGGGGAAGATCAAAGTCACATACATTCTTGTCCAAAATCTCAGAGGAGAAAGTTTGGGCAAGGTGCTGCTCCCTATTGCTTGTCTAATTCTTTAGTGCAGGGGTTTCCAACCTTGGCAACTTTAAGCCTGGGGGACTCCAACTCCCAGAATTCCCCATTCTGAGAGTTGAGGTTCATCAGGCTTAAACTTGCCAAGACCAGTGGTGGGATTCAAATTTTTTTACTACCGGTTCTGTGGGCGTGGCAGGGGAAGGATATTGTAAAATCTCCAATCAGGGATGGTATTTGCCTGCCTGAACTTCTCAAAATTTCCACTACCGGTTCTCCAGAACTGGTCAGAACCTACTGGATTCTACCTCTGTTGGAGACCCCTGCTTTAGTGTACCACCCAGGCCCTCATTATAGCTACCCCCTTGCTTTTCTCTCCTATATGCAAGGGAGGTGAAGATGTTTGCTTTTGCACTGATAGTTTGCCCAGAACACGGGAAAGGAAGGCAGTTATTTGACCAAAAATACCCAATTCCACAAAATCTATGGTTATACAGGTAGTCTTCGATTTACAACAGCTCACTTAGTGGCCATTCAAAGTGAACAATGGCACTGAAGAAAGTGATTTAAGGCCATTTTTCACACTTATGATTGTCGCAGCGTCCCCATGGTTATGTGATTTACATTCAGATGCTCAACAACTGATTCGTATTTGCCCCGGGGTCATGTGATCCCCTTTTGTGACCTTCTGACAAGCAAAGTCAGTGGGCAAACAGATTCACTTAACAACCGTTACTAATTTAACAACTGCAGTGATTTGCATTAAATCTCAAGAGCAGTTTTAACTATGATCTTTCTAGAATCTATGGTGCCATCAACAATTCTCCATTTTTTAAAGACAGCATGTCAAGAACGTTTAAATTAACTGCTGTGTAGCCTTGTATAATTGTATTATTTATCTACCATTTCTCTTTTTTTGTTTTTTCTCCCTTACGCAGGCGCACGCGCACAAGCGTCCGAACTCCACCACCCCCCGTACTGTACTTCACGTGCGCCGCCCTCCCGCCAATCAGCTCAGTTCAAAAACTACTTTTTTTTTTCTTGACCTCCTGCTAGGCGGGTTTTTATTTTTTTTTTAGAACGCGGCGCCCCCGTATGGCTGCGCGTGGAACCCCGAAGGAGCGACGCCATTGGCTGAAGGGAAAGGACGTTCCGAGTCAGGTCGTCGGCGAGTGGCTGCTCTGAAGGCGTGGCTGGAGGGAGGCGAGAGATTCCGCTTCTGATTGGCTAGTAGTTCGCAGTGGCCCCGAAGAGCATTGGAAAGGTGAGTGTTCCGTAAAGTCGTGGATCATGAAACCCTTATGAGGAGGGTCTGAGCCAATTAAAGCGGCTACGTAGCATCTAATGCAGCGGTGGGCAACTATGGCCCTTTTATGACTTGTGGACTTCAACACCCAGAATTCCTGAGGCTGGCTCAGGAATTCTGGGAATTGAAGTCCATAACTTGTAAAGGAGCCATTGTTGCCCACCCCTGATCTAATGGACCCGAGGTAAACTGGAGCGCCACTTTGGGGCGGGCGCTTTGCATTGGTAACTGTGGGTGGTGTGTGGAAGCCTGAACTGACTGCGGAGAGAACTGTCAGCTTCCGTGTTTCTTGGTGGTTGTTTTTTTCTATGACAGCCTTATTAAGCACACGGAGGGGGCGGGGATCCTCTTTAAGTATTATTATGGTAGTTAAAGAAATGCTAGTCTGGTTTTTAGTTCCCAGAAGAAAAAATAAGCGAGTTTGAGCATTAGTTTTGATTTTTTTAAAAAATGATTATGCGCCATCAAGTTGGTGTCGACACTTAGCAGACCCAAAGATAGATTTTTCTTCATCGAGTTCTATCTCCAACCTTGTGTTTCATGTCTCCCAGCCCAGGCTCCCCTCTCAAGTCCTGCTATGCTGCTTCATGGGGGAGGAAGAAGGGGTATTCCTGGGAGGAATGAGCCGGGAGCACAGGGTGGAGGTGTATGCCAGGGGTTTAAGATTCCCAGCAGGGTCATCCAAAGTATGAAGGTCATCCCAGCTGCCCATTAAAGCAAGCAGGCATCTACTGTGTATTGTGCAGCAACAATATAGGAAGATGCTGGAAACAGATTATTACTTTAGTGATAATGGCAAAGGCAGCAATTTATACTGCACAGGAGAAGGCAGAGGTTTCTGTATTTTTACCAAGACAACTGCACAGATAGAAAATATTAAATGATTGACAATATAATGCCAGATAATGGCTCTCTCAGATCGGATAGCATTCAACATGTTCCTGAGGAAAAGTTCTTGGTTAAAACATTCTTAAGGTGGGATTGAATGTGGGATGGCCCATAAAATTTAAAAAACCATTTGATTGTATTTGTTCAGTCTGATTCCCTTTATGTATCAATAGGACCAATATGAAAGTCTGTTAACATTCAGTAGATAAAATATGGAAAACTTCAGAAAATCTCAAATGGAACAATTATGAAGTCCAAATTATGAGATAGTTACATGAGAATCAGTGTGATGGAACAGTTCAGGTACTGAACTAAGAATGAGGAAAACCAGTTCTAATCTTTTCTCCTTAAGCACATAATCTGACCAGTGACTATGAGTTATCCTCTCATTCAGCCCTAGATTGGGAAATTTAAAAAAATTACCAACCCATATTGAACCAGTGTGGCAGCTTATGATTTATAACAATCAGGTAAGGAGTTCTTAATCCTACATTAGCTTGAGTGGGCTAATAATAATTGTGAAGCTGCCACAAATTATTTTGGAGGAGCAGTCTATAAATATATTTTTATTAAATGTATTTGCTGCCCATCTCATTTCAGAGCAACTCTGGGATACTCGTAGCATTAAAAGCATTAAAACCTTAAAGATAAATATTTATAAAATGATAGAAATTGAATCACAATAAAACCCTTACAGAAAGTCAGGACAATAGGAGCTGATCTCATCTCAGGAACTAAAATGCTCCCAAAAGCAGCAGCAACAGCAGAGAAGGCCTTTCTCTTAGACTCTGCCAGCTGAAATTCCTTGACTGATGGGGACCACAGCAGGCCTCCTCTGTCAATGAAGATGGGGTGGGCTAGTTCCATTGGAATGAGATGGTTCCTCAAGACCCATGCCATGCAGGGCTTTAAAGGCAATAACCAACACTTTGAATTGCTTGTGAATATATCATGAATGAATAAATATAATACTCAATACAATTCTTACAGTAATATTTAAAAATCAGAGTTCAGTTGATTTTATACAACTACATTTGGATCTAACCCGTTATGTATATAACTCTTTACATATACATATAGTCTTTGTTGAAGTTACCAAAATAAATTGTAGTGCTTTAAAACAAGCAAAATATATTTAATAAAATGGCAAAAAGAAACATTGACGATCTTCTAATATCTTAATCTGGCCTCAGCTTGGAAATGTCCCTGGCACGGCTTGGAAAAGTGGTTCCCAAATCAAGCATCTTGTTCCTGTGTGACATGCAAGAGAAATTCCGCCCCAACATCAGCTACTTTCCTCAGATTGTGTCTGTGGCAGCTCGGATGCTGAAGGTAAACACTGGAGGGTAAGGGAAAAAAAGGGGTTTGGCTGGTCTAAGAGATAGGGGAGAGAGAGAGCTGGAGAGATAAGGGAAGAAATTACTTATTTAACTAAATGGTTTTGATTGGGTACCCAATCAAAGTACCCAAAATACAGAGGTTCAGGATTCTAAATATGGGTTCCAGAATTCATTCAGGTGTTACAAGGAAGCCATGCTTTAGCTGTTTGGGATGTTACCCAGCAGGTTACTCCAAGTCTGAGTCTAGTCCATAATTTTGAAGTAGATATTGCCCAAATTTAAGTGACTCTTGGGAGCTGTTTGCTAGAATGTTTAGCATTTGCTGTCAGTGTTGGCAAAACCAGGCATCAAAATGTGGGGTTTTTTTGGCCAAGTGTCATGGTAGTGATCAGGTGCCTGAGCAATTGATTCTTTGGGATCCAAAATACAGTGAAAATTTCAGTAAATACAGGGATGTGAAGCTCTGTTATTAACTCGAGCAAATAGATGTAAAAGCACAACATAAAAAGCATATATACCAAGCAAAATACTACCAAAATTTCTTTCAAGCTGTCAGGAGCTCCTTAATAAAGGCAGCAGACATGTCCCAAGAGTGGCCAATTTTTATGATACCTAGTGCTAGGTTCCATGCTGAAGCTCCCAACAAAGAACAAAGCATCCAAGTTTTTATCAAAGCCTGGTACCATAATTTCATGGCCCTGCAGGGTCAGCATATTGCAAGACCTGACCTCGACTGGTAGTACATGGACTGGGATGGCAATCAAAAGCCTGAGACTTCCACTGTCAGTCGAGCTCTATGGGAAGATCTAGCAAACCGGAATAAACAAGCAGGCTAGCTCAAGAAAGAGGTCTAAACTTCTAGGCTTTTTCTTAATATGAAATCAAAATATGTCACTAAACTCAAGATAATAATGGTCTTCTGGATTGCCACTACCCAAATATTTACTTCTGGGGATGCTCTTGATCAGAGGGGGCTTCATGAAAGCTAAGGCAAGGCTGAGTCTTGTGCAATTTCTTAGATGGACACAAGGGGTCAGCATAAAATCAGCATCTGAAAAGCTCACCTCCATCTCTAAACAATCTGGGAGTCCTGCTTGTTTCACCGCACCCATTCCCAAGGCCCTGTTTTGTCTCCCCACAGGTTGCCAAAGTTCTTGAAATTTGCACTGTGGTCACTGAGCAATACCCCAAAGGTTTGGGTCCAACAGTACCGGAACTGGGAGCTGAAGATTTGCCCAAATACAGCAAAACATGCTTCAGCATGCTTATCCCCGAGGTGGAAAAAGAGATGGCGTCTGTTCCCAACTTGAAATCCGTACTTCTCTGTGGGATTGAGGCACAGGCTTGCATCATGGTATGAGATCAGGAACCTGGATTTTGGGGGTAGGCAAAAGAAAAAAAAACACCCAGCAAAACTACAGACCAATCAGCCTAACATCAATATCCGGGAAGATATTGGAAAAGATAATAAAATAACAGATCTGACAACATGTAGAAATGAGTAAAGTAATAACTAGAAGTCAGCATTAGTTTCTTAAAAACAGATCATACCAAACCAATCTTATTTAATTTTTCAACATAGTGACTAAATTAGTAAAATACTGTGGACATAATATACTTAGACTTCAGCAAGGCATTCGACAAAGTAGACCACAACCTACTTCTTGGTAAGCTAGAAAAAAGTGGGATAGATAGCATCACCTCCAGATGGATTTGTAACTGGCTGACAAACCATAATGGTACTACATCTACATGGAGGGAAGTAAGCAGTAGGGTACCACAAGGTTCCATCTTAGACCCAGGACGCTTCAATATTTTCATAAATGACTTAGATAAGGAAATAGAAGGGGAACTTACCAAATTTGCAGATGATACTAAGCTGGCATGAATAACCAACACTAGATTATAAGCTCAAGATCCAGATGGATCTTGACCGACTTGAACACTAGACCCTATCTAATAAAATGAAATTCAATGTAGAGAAAAATAAAGTCTTACACTTAGGTAAGAAAAACCAAATACACATACAGACTGGGTGAAACCAGGCTTAATAGCAGTAAGTGTGAGAGGGATCTTGGAGTCCTAGCTTAAATATAAGCTAACAGTGTGCGGTGGCAGCCAAAAAAGCCAGTGCAGTCCTAAATTGCATTAACGAAGGGATACAATCAAGTTCAAGTGAGGTACTACTACCAGTCTATAAAGCCTTAGTAAGACCACTCCTAGAATACTGCATCCAGTTTTGGTCATCATACTATAAAAATAGAGGTTGAGACTCTAGAAAGAGTGCAGAGAAGAGCAACCAAGGTGATTGGGGACTGGAGGCTAAAACATATGATGAACAGTTTCAGGAACTGGGCATGGCTAGTCTAGTGAAGAGAAGGACCAGGGGAGACATGGTAGCAGTGTTTGAGTATTTGAGAGGAAGGGGTCAGAGAGGAAGGGTCAAGCTATTTTCCAAGGCACCTGAAGGCTAGACAAGGAATGATGGATGGAAACTGAACAAGGAGAGATTCAACCTGGAAGTAAAGAGAAACTTCACAACAGTGCAAATAATTAACCAATGGAACAGCTTGCCTTCAGAAGTTGTGGGAGCTTCATCACTGAAGGCTTTCAAGAAGAGACTGGACTGCCATCTGTCCAAAATGGGGTAGGGTCTCCTGCTTGGGCAGGAGGTTGGACTAGATGACCTATAATATCCCTTCTAACACTGTTAATCTGTTAAAAACTGATGTCAGGGTAGATGGATTAGCTATGCAGCTTTTATCAATGTACCAATAGAAGAGAATATTTGTAGCTCAAGGTTAAACTGTGGGGTTCTTAATGCTCTCTGAGCTTGGTTTCATCAATGTTTAGCAGAAAGCTAATAAACTCAGCTCTCCTACTAGTGCTGCAGGGGGGTGTACGACACCGCATCATGTTTGAGTTGCCTCATCCAACTTGCCAGAGCAAATTGGCTGCAGCCAACTTGCCATGGGACAACTCGCCATGGCCAACTTGCTGCGGGACAAGAGCTGCCCTAAAGTCGAAGAGCCGCGGTGGTGCAGTGGTTAGAATGCAGTAGTGCAGGCTACTTCTTCTGACTGCCGACTGCCAGCAGTTTGGCAGTTCAATTCTCACTGGTTCAAGATTGACTCAGCCTTCCATCCTTTCCAGGTCGATAAAATGAGGAGCCCGATTTTGGGGGGCAATATATGCTGATTCTGTAAACTGCTTGGGGCTGTAAAGTCCTGTGAAGCGGTATATAAGTCTAAATGCTATTGCTAAATATAGAATAGAATAATTAAAGGATACCAAAAGAGGGACAAAATGAAATGTAAAGTGTTGTAAATAATTAAAGTGAATTGTTGAATTGTCCTGCAATGAGTTGTCCCATGGTGAGTTGACCATAATGAATTGTCCTATGGCGAGTTGGCTGCAGCGAATTGGCCGTGATGAGTTGTCCATGACAAGTTGGCTGCGATGAGTTGTCCCCCTTTGGCTGCAGAGAATCCCACCGCATATGTATATGGTGGTGGTCATAAGGTCTTGGAGTAAACATGGGAGATTCAAGTTTAAACCATATTTAGCTCTTGAGGGTTTGAACTAGTCTCGCTAAGTCATTGCTCTTTATAAGCTTATCAGAATCTGCAGGAACTTGCTTCTTTTGTCAAAAATAACAGTTAAAAAGAATCATCCTGCAAACTCTGCCCCAGGGCAGAGCTTAGAGCACAACATGGTTTTAACAGTTGTGCCCCACCTCCTGTGGATAGCAAAGGGCTATTGTACAGTTAAACGGAAGAGAGGTTCCTATCTAAATCACCTTGCATTCCTGGAGGAAAAAGGGGGTTAGAAGCTTAACAGACAAATAAATAGAAAGTCCATAGAGACCAGGATTATCGGTCTTGTTCAAATAAGTCCATAGCTTTTTTTTAATAGAACATGCTAAACCAGTTTACTGAATTATCACTGCCTGGATTCACCAAAGGAGTAAACTATAAACCATGCTTATAAGCTATCCTATCTGGGTTCATACAATGTACAGGTACTCCTCAATTTACAACCATTCATTTAATGACCCTTCAAAATTACAACAGTGCTGAAAAAAGTGACTTGCAACTGGTCCTTGCACTTTCGACCATTGCACTTAATAACTGCAGTGATTTGCTTAGCAACCATGGCAAAACATTGTGAAATTGAGCATAACTCATTTAATGACTTCTTCAGTGATGAAAGTGCCAGTCCCAATTGCGGTCATACTTCAAGCACTACCTGGTGTAGACAAACCAACAGAAGAGAATATACATAGCTCAGGAATGCACTGTTAGGTTCTTGGTGTTCTTTGAGCTTGGTTGTTTCTTGGCACAGGTTTCATTGATTCAAAACCATAGTTTGATCTAGCGTGTTGAGCATACTCAGCCACGTAATAAGACTTCTTTGGTTTTGACTCCGCATGTAGTGTGAATCTAGCCACCTGTAATTTATTCAGCACCCTGTGGCTAAGTAAGCAATGCTTGCATGTGTTGTTTGATTTAAGTGCCAGAGTAAAATTGGGAAAATATCCATTTCTTCCTATCTTTGAATCTTTAACCGATGTAGATGGTCTGGCAAATACAGGTAATCCTTCAACTTACAACAATTCATCTAGTGATCGTTCAAAGTTACAACAGCACTGAAAAAACTAAGTTATGACCGTTTTTCACAGTTGCAACCTTTATAGCATTCCCCGTGGTCAGGTGATCAAACTTCAGATACTTGGCAGCTGGTTCATACTTATGACCATTGCTGTGTCCCAAGGTCACATGATCCCCTTTTGCGACTTTCTGATAAGCAAAATCAATGGGCAAGCCAGGTTCACTTAACAACTGGATTGTTAACTTACCAACTGGAGTGATTCACTTAACAACCATAGCAAGAAAGGTGGTAAAACGGGGCAAAGCCCACTTAAGAAACCTAATTTAACAGAAATTTTGGGCTCAACTGTGGTCATAAGTGGAGGACTATGTGTAGTTTCAAATCCTGAGGAGCCTGGGAGGGGTGAAACAAAAGCACTTCAGTTCTTTTTCTCGAGCTAAGAAGGCCAAATAATATTCAGATAGTCCTACAACCATTCGTTTAGCAACTATTCGCAGTTACAAGAGCACTGAAAAAAGTGAGTTATAGTTGGTCCTTGCACTTTCCCAGCCAGATTCTGATGAGCAAAATTAAATCTGGGGGAAACCAGATTTGCTTAATGACCATGTGATTCACTTAACAACCATAGCAAAAGTAAAATTGGGTACAGCTCAGGTAACAACTGTCTTGCTTAGCCATGGAAATTCTGGTCTGAATTGTAGTTATAAGTAAAGGACTACCTACAGAACTTAGAAATAGGTATGAAGCTAATTCTGGTGGAAGACAGGAGATGAACTCGATCGTATACAGGTAAGAGCTGTTACTAAGGCCCACCTTGTGGTGATTCGTGCAGCGAAGTGTAAATACTTCTCCACACTAATTGCATCTGCAGATAATCGCCCAGCAGCCCTCTTTAAAGTGAGCCTCCTCCTCCTGGGGAAGGAGGAGATTGAGGTCCACCTGAAGGGGAGCGCTGAGGAATTTGCGGATTTCCTGGAAGACAAAATCGCTCGACTTCAGCGTGGTTGTTGGTCCAGTGGAAGCTCCTGAGGCAGGTTCTTGCCCTTTTATCTGGGAACGTTTTGACCCTGTTGCTCCTGAGGAAGTGGACAGGATCCTAGGGAGTATGCGCGCGAGCACCTGTATTTTAGACCCATGTGCCTCCTGGCTTGTGAAAGATTCCCAGGAGGGGACAGGTGGGTGGACTCTGGCAGTGATTAATGCTTCCCTACAGGAGGGCATAGTGCCCCAGCACTTTAAAGAGGCTGTGGTCTTCCCTCTTCTTAAGAAACCATTGCTGGACTCCACCCGGTTGGATAATTTCCAATCTGTCTTCAATCTTCCATTTTGGGTGAAGGTTGTTGAGATGGTGGTCGTGCAGCAGTTCCAGAGGTTTCTGGATGAAATGGATTATCTCGACTCTTACCAGTAAGGATTCAGGTCTGGATTTGGGACAGAAACGGCATTGATTACACTTCTGGATGATCTCTGATGGGAGCAGGATGGGGGTAGTGCATCCACCCTTGCTCTACTTGCCCTCTCAGCAGCTTTCAATACCATAGATCATGGGGTTCTTCTGGGGCAGCTTTGGTGGATGGGAGCGGGAGGCCTTGTGCTATCCTGGTTCACTTCCTTCCTCTGCGTCTGCTCTCAGTCAGTGTTGATAGGAGGGGAGAGATCCAGCCCTTGCCCACTGCTTTACGGGGTTCCCCAGGGCTCGGTACTCTCTCTGCTCCTGTTCAACATTTATATGAAGCCGCTGGGTGAGATCATCCGTCACCATGGACTGAAGTATCACTAATATGCTGATGATACTCAGCTGTATGTCTCGGCCTGTGGTGAGTTGAGTGTTGCTGTGTCCTTCTCACAGTGCCTGGAGTGGATGGGGAGCAATGAGTTGAAACTAAACCCTTGCAAGACCGAGTGGCTCTGGGTTTGGGGTTCGTTGGCTCAGGGAGAATTGCCACCTTTGGTCTTGGATGGGGTGGCACTACCCCAAACAGACCCTGTGCGTAATCTAGTGGTTTTCCTGGAGTCACAATTCCTGCTTGAAGATCAGGTGGCAGTCATGGCCAGGAGGGCCTTTGCGTAACTGCGGGTTGTGCACCAGTTACATCCTTTCCTGGACCAATGGTCCCTACTCACAGTCACTCATGCCCTAGTCACTTCCCATCTTGATTATTGCAACGCGCTCTACATGGGGCTGCCCTTGAAGAACATCCGGAAGTTCCAGTTGATGCAAAATGCAACGGCTCGCATGGTTTTTTGTGCAGACCCCGGTGTGCACATGTGTCACCTCTCCTGCAGGAGCTGCATTGATTGCCGATTTGCTTCCGGGTGCAATTCAAGGTGCTGGTTGTCACCTTCAAAGCCCTTCATGGCTTAGGACCAGATTATCTGAGGGAAGGTCTCTTGCTGGTCACATCTACCCGACCCATCAGAGCGGGGAGGCAGGGAATGTTGTGGGTCTCATCCCTGAGAGAGGTATACCTGGAGTGGCTCCCTCTCTCTGGAACATTATTCCCCCAGGGATTAGAATGGCCCCCACTCTAGCACTCTTCCGAAAGGCACTGAAGACCTGGTTCTGCCAGTGGGCCTGGGGAGCCCAGAGAGGGATGGAGCCCATCAGGTGGCTAGTGTGATCTGCTGTCGTCAGGGTGGGAGTTGGGGGGTGATTTTTTTTTCCAGATTTTATTCTATTGTATATTGATTTATTTGATTCTTTTTGTTAGTTTTTATTGTTTTTTTTTTATTTATTGTTTTAAATGTGGTTTTACCTTGTATAAGCCACCTCAAGTCGCCATGGGCGAAGAGGCAGCAGTATAAATTAAATAAGTAAATAATTCGCTCCTACGAATTAAAGGAGCAGCAGGACTGCTTTATATGCAGGGAGCCAGCTTACCACCAATGGGTGTATTTGCAGTGGGGATGAGGACCCAGCATAGTCATCTCCACAACACACAATTAGTACTAAACACCCCAGCATTTCTTAGCCCAGAGGTCCTCCTGACCGGGCAATTGTGGGAGATGGTTGAAAGACTGAAAGAGTTGCAAAATCCTGGGAGTGGCAGAGTTCCGAAGAGTGCCACCACAGGAATGATTGCTCTCTCGTAGAAACTGAAGGCAGTTTCTTCTGATATTTATTTATTTATTTTACCCAGAGTACTGCCTTGGATGTCATGGAGCGAGGCCTGGATGTTCACATCGTGATGGATGCTTGCTCTTCTCGCAGGTGATCAGTTGAATGGGCGGGGAGAAGAGTCCAACCCGACCCCTTCCGTTTTCCTCATGTCTTTCATTCACTGGGATCTTTTTTTCTTCCTGCCTCCCTTTCTTAGCCAGGTGGACAGGATCGTAGCTCTGTCCAGACTGCGTCAGAGCGGGGCCTTCCTTACCACCAGCGAGGGACTTATCCTGCAGCTTGTCCGGGATGCGGCCCACCCACGTTTCCGAGAGGTAGTTCTCTCAATTTCTTTCCATACATCCAAGCTGCTAGCTTCATTCACCTGGTTCAGTTGGCCGGTGCCTCGGTATAAATGGCCCCCTGGTGAAGCAGTGGGGTTTAATCAGCTCAGTGTGAAGCAGCCCCACTGATATCAGGAGCAGCGATCTTTGGTGATATCCCAGCCACCTTTACTGAAGTAGGCAGGTTGGCCGTGTTTCTTTTTTTTGACAGTATAATAAAACTACAAAACCCTTAGTTACTTGGTCAGGATTAGCAATATCATGAGCATGTGATAGGAGAACATATCCTTCTTGTACATTATTCTGTCGTGTCTTATCTCCTCATGTGCTCACTGGCATAGAGGAAGAGAAGGATGTAACTAGTTACCAGAAATCCTAGAGAAGACTGTTGTGGAGCCACTCTAGGCTCTGATCTCTATCTAGCTGTAAGGCAATTTAACCAAATGAGGCCAGCTGACCAAAGCAAATCAATCTCAACAAACCAGTTCTGTGTCTCCGCCCAAGGGAATGTGGTCTGGCAGAATTAAACCAACATTTGCCTGGGAGCACATTTTTGGAGGAAATAAGAACTCTTTCAATAGACTATTAGGCCACTCTCCAGAAACTGGATAGCACTAGGACTGAAACTAATAGGCTTATTTTAAATGTAATAATATATCCAGTCACAAGTTTGGTGAGAACTTCTGGCAGGGTTCTGGGGAAATCCATGTTCATGGATCCTGTGAATTTCTGCTGGCTTGAAAGAAAGCAAGTCAGATCACTTCCGGATTATCCTCCAGCTGTTCTCCACTCCTTTTCTTTTTCAGATTCAGAAACTGATTATGGATCCTGCCCCTGACAGTGGCCTTCTGCCCCTCATAAAAGAGCCAAATCCCCTTTTCAGTTAGGTCAACTGGTCCAAGGATGATAATCTTTTAAAATGCCTTCAGCCATTTCATCTGATGTCCTTGACCTTTTGAATGGGAAGGAACAAAATCAAGATTCTTCAAACTGATTTTAAAGAAGATGATGAATTATAAACATAGCTGAGAAGCTGCATCAGATGTGATCTTTCTATAGTTATTCAATGAGATGGTTGAAAGAAGACACTGGTAATATTTTGACCTGGTATTTTTCTATTAAGAAACATCAATTCTGCCTCCTTAGCTCATAACATTTATCTTGGCTATGTGTACAAATATATATTTAATTTTCACATTTTATTGTGACAGTTCTCTTGTGAGCATGTATAAATAATACCTGGAATTGTTTTACACTCTGTGTCTATGGAGATTCTCGGTCATTCAGATCATGGTTGTCCCAAAGGTGTTTTTTCAAAAGGGAACTGGGCTTTGTTTTTCCTTGAAGATGTTTTGCTTCTCATCTAAGGAGCTTCTTCGCTTCTGAACAATCTTCTTGGATGAGAAGTGAAACGTCTTCAAGGAAAAACAAAGTCCAGTTGCCTTTTGACAAAGTACCTTTGGGTTTTACACTTTAGTACAGATTTAGGAAACAAGCAGGAAATTAAACAGATGGGTTCATACATGATTCTTGTTGTTTTATATGAATAAACTACAGTTTTGGAGTGGTTTTAGTTAACTGTATTTAACTGAGTTCACACAACATGTAATCAAAGCATTTTTGACTCAAGTCTGGTGTATAAATCCAGTTTACTTCTATTGACAGAAAGACAAGTTCAGATAGTCCTTATAACAGTTCATCTAGTGACCGTTCAAAGTTACAACAGCCCACTGAAAAAAGTGACTTATGACCATTTTTCATTTATGACCATTGCAACATCCTGTGGTCATGTGACCAAAATTCAGATGCTTGGCAGCTGACTCATTTATGGTGGTTGCATTGTCCTTGGGTCTTATAATCACCTTTTGCAAACTTCTGACAAGCAAAGTCAATGGGGAAGGCAGATTCACTTAATAACTTTTTCACTAACTTAACAACTGCAATGATGCACTTAGCAACTGTGGCAAGAAAGGTCATAAAAGGGGGCAAAATTCATTTAACAAATATCCCAGTAATATAAGTGTTGGGCTCAATTATGATCCTAAGTCAAGGACTACCTGTAGTTGTGTGCAGGAAAACAAGAATTTCTACAGGTAATCAAACAATCTGAAAAAGTTTCCCTTTTCCTACTTCCATAATTTGTAGGCCTAGTCACAACCATGAAAGCTAAAAATATGCATTTATTTAAAAATTCAGAGTTTCATGTTGGCCCTGGTTTCATGCCCTGTTCAACACAGTGAATGTATATTTTGAGGCCCTAACAATTGCTAAATATTCAAGCTCCAGTTGTATTTTAAAAAAAACAAGTTTACTAGCTTCACGTGTAGAAATTCATAAGTTTCCCTTCATTTCCTGAGAAATTTCAACTGCTGATTTCTTGGACACCAAAGGTATAACATTAGTGGCTGCTTTCAGTTGTGAAATAAAATGATTGTTTCACTCACCAGGCACACATTTTGACTGTAGTCTAAAAGGACATTTCTCAACCTTAGCAGCTTTTAAGATGTGTGAACTTTAAAAATCAGAACCCAGCAGGGTGGGGAATTCTGGGAATTGAAGTCCACATATCTTAAAAGTTGCTAAGGTTGAAAAACCCTGCTCTAAAGTCACATTTAATATACATATAATCTCTCTGAGCCAAGCATAACCATTGGATGTCTGGAAATTCTCAGTCATCCAGGTCATAGTTATCCCAAAGGTCCTTTTTGAAGAAGCAACTGGACTTAGACATTTTACTTCTCATCCAAGAAGTTTCTTCAGCTCTGACTGGATGGTGGGGAATGGAAGGATTTATACTCTCTCTCTATATATATATATAGAGAGAGAGAGACAAGAGTGCAAGAATTATAAATCCTTCCATCGCCTACCATCCAGGCAGATTTGAAGAAGCTTCCTGGATGAGAAGCAAAATGTCTTTTTTAAAAAAACCAAGAAAGTCCAGTTGCCTCTTGAAAAAGTACCTTTGGGACATCACCATGGGAAAAATACATTATTTTGGCAGGAAAGGCTTCCAAGAAATGTATGTGTGTATCATTCCACGATGAGCAGGAAAAGAAATAATGTTTACTTCTGTCCCTGTTGTTGAGCCTGCTTTAACTGAACAGCTTCCATAGCAAAACGTAGAGGATGCGGGAAAGTTGGTTTTCTGCATACGGGGCATGCTATTTTTCAGGCAGCTGAATAGAATTTGAAGGCTAATCCAACCTCAAGGGTATATATTTTTTTAAAAGACATATCCAGATAGGACTCCAGATTTGATCTATTCACCGCTTTATCCTCGCCCCCCCCCCCCGCCTACTTTCGCAGCTGTCCCTTTAAGACCCAGGTTTCCCTTTCTGCTCCCCATCACAACACCAGCGACACGTGCCTCTCCGCGTGCTTCCTACGCTGAACTGTCGCCTTTTTTCTCCCCCTGCCGCCTTCCTATTGGCCAAAACTGGGTCAGGCTCCTCCCACCATGTCTCCTCCCATTGGTCAAATCTAGGTCAGAGCCCCACCTGCCCCATGGCAGACGCACATGACAGAAGAAGCAGTGTTGGGGGGGGGGGAGCGGTGTTTGCAAATCTCACGCTCTCGGGCGTCTGGTTGGTAGAGAAGGGCTCGCGAATCCCCGCCCACTTTCGCTGCCCTGCCCCTCCTACTTTGTGGCAAAAGGAGGGGCGAATTCGGAAATAGTTGCGAAGTGCTTGTTGAGGAAAGTAACTGGAGCGATTTTTTTTTTGCAATTTTATATCTGCATCTATTCGTCTGTTGCACGCGTCAAGCTCAAATGCATTGGTTCCCTTCTGGGGGAAGCCTGCATAGGACTCCGGAACGGGTCGGGATCCGCTTTCGGTTTCTCCCCGTTATTATAGCGGGGACCTGGCAGAGTAGCAGGTGCGAAAATCTCGGATTCCTTCATTTCCTGCCCGAGAAGACGCTTTTCCCTGGTTGGAGATCGTGCATTGCTTTTTCCAGTGCTTCTAGGATTTAGCTGGAAGAGGAAAAGGCGAGTTGATCCACCGCCGCCGTTTAGAGGGAGCAGGATCTCTTTGTGAAGGAATCACATCGCCGAGTCTTTTCCTTTAGAAAGGGGAAAGGCTAGGGCTTCGGATAGAAACCTCCCGAGGGTAATTAATTCCCCCTCCCAAAAAATAAATCCATTTTTAAAAAATTCTGAATCTGACAATCGATTCCCCCCGTTTTCTGATCATCTTTAATTATTGTTTCCTGCTTTATTGAAAAATTAAATCTCTCCCACGCCCACCGCCACCCGAGCCTCTTCATCTCCACCAAGATCCGGACAGATCTTCTGCGAAGATCCTTTTTGGTGCCGACTGGTTGCTAAATTTGGAGCGGGGCAAAGCGGGGGCCGTCCGCCAGCGCCCTGGAGGCTTATTTCAAGGCTGGTGATGGAAGGAGAACGAGAGAGGAAAGGGGGGTGGGGGGGGGCAAGCGGGAAAGAAATATTTTAAGTGGGGGGGGGCAGGAAATCATCCAGGTCCTGAAATTTCCTTCCCCTCCTGAGCATCGGGGGGTGGATTTTCGTCGGGCTCTAGTTCGAAGCTTGATGCTTTTACTGATATATATTTTTTTATATTTCTAAAGTCGGGACACAGTGCTGGAGATTGTCGAAAAGAGAGGAAAAATCCACCGTGGACCCTGGAGTTAACTGCTGCTCCCGCTGCCGCAACCTTCACCATGGCCCAGGGCAGTCCGGCACCCAGTCTCATGTCTTCTCCTCCTCCTCCTCCTCCTCCTCTGGCGATCGGAGGCCCCAGTTCCACTATGGTCAGTCTCAAGAGCCTCCTTCAAGGACCGGTCAAGAGTCCTGAACGTCGGGGGACCAAGGATCTGGCCTCATGTGAGTGATTCCAACCCCCACCCCAACCCACCCCCACTGCCTGCAACATGCCAGGTCTAACCAGCATTTGTGCTGGCAGCCACACAAAACATTTGCTGCTTTCCAACTGTTTTGCCAGTTCACAGTGGAGAGATTTGATTTGCTTGTTTAGAAATTGCTAAAGCAATTTTTTTGTGCCTCTGTGTAGATTATCATCTATCATCTATCTGTCATCTATCTACTCAATCAGCATTCTAGCTAGCTAGCTAGTCTATGCTATATATCTATCTTATCTACGTATCTACAACTATCTCACCTATTTATCTATATATCCTATATATCATCTATATGCTTATCTATCTATCTATCTATCTATCTATCTATCTATCTATCTATCTATCTATCTATCTATCTATC